GACAAGTGTGACATGAAATTTGAGCTTCGAAGTCATTTCAGTAGACACCAAATATCAGAGCACAAAGATTTTGCATGCAACAGGTGTGAGAAAAAATTTGTGAAAAAATCAAGTTTGTTGACGCACCAAAAATTGGTACACAAAGATCGCGTAAATTTCACGTGCAATAAGTGTGAGAAGAAATTTGAAAATAAATCGTCTTTACTCAAGCACAAAAAAATATTCCACGAGGTTTTTAAAGATTACTTATGTGAAAAGTGCGCTATGAGATTCGGAAATAAAAAGAGTTTGCTCGCTCACATAAAGACAGTACACGACGTTCGGAAAGATTTATCTTTCAAAGTCTTTAATGATTACTCATGTAATAATTGCGAGAAAAAATTTGGGAAAAAATCAAATTTGCTCATGCACCAAAAGACAGTACACGAAGATTACAAAGATTATGCATGTGACAAATGCGAAAAAAAGTTTGGGGTTAGAAGTAATTTAATAAAACACCGAAAGACAGTTCATGAGGGTCGCAAAGATTTTGCATGCAACCATTGCGACAAAAAATTCGGACATAAACAGCATTTGTTCTTGCACCAAAAGACACAACACGAAAAGAAAGATTTCACATGCGACAATTGCGAAAAAAAATTTGGTCTAAAACAGAATTTGCTTGTTCACCAAAAGACAGTACACGAGGGTCGCAGAGACTATGCATGCGACAAATGCGAGACGAAATGCAGGAATAATTCAGAATTATTGAATCACCAAAAGACAGTCCACGAGGGTCGCAGAGACTATGCATGCGATAAATGCGATAAAAAATTCGGACGAAGATCGCATCTGATCAGTCACCAAAAGACAGTACATGAAGGTCGCAAGGACTTCGCATGCCCCAGTTGTGAGAAAAATTTTGGACAAAAACAACATTTGCATGTGCACCAAAAGATAATCCATGAAGGTCGAAAAGATTATGCATGCGGCAGTTGTGACAAGAAATTTGGACAAAAATCAGATTTGTTCAAGCACCAAAATGCAGTCCATGAGGGTCGCAAAAATTTCGCATGCAACATATGTCAGAAAAAATTTGTATCAAAAAGTGTTTTGATCAGTCACCAAAGGATAGTTCATGAAGGTTGCAAAGGTTTCGTATGCGACAAGTGTGAGCAGAAATTTGGAAAAAAATCAGATTTGTTGAGGCACAAAAGGACAGTACACGAGGGTCGTAAAGATTTCGCATGCAACATATGTCAGAAAAAATTTGTATCAAATGGTGTTTTGATCAGCCACCAAAGGATAGTTCATGAAGGTCGCAAAGATTTCGCATGCGACAAATGCGATAAGAAATTTGGGATTCGCAGATCTTTGATCGTACACCAAAACACAGTCCACGAGGGTCGCAAAGATTTCGCATGCGATATTTGCGAGAAAAAATTTGGACACAAATGGATTTTACTTTTACACCACAGAACAGTCCACGAAGGTAGAAAAGATTACGCATGCGACAAGTGTCAGCAGAAATTTGGACATAAATCAAATTTAAATTTACATAAAAAATTAGTTCACGAAAGTCGCAAAGATTTCGCATGCAACGTATGTGAGAAAAAATTTGGAGCGAAAGGGGATTTGATGAGGCACCAAAGGACAGTCCATAAGAGACGCACCGATTTTGAATGTGACAAATCTGAGAAGAGACTTGTGACTCAAAAAGTTTTGACTAGGCACCAATAAACAGTCCATTAAAATCGAAAATATTACTCATGTGACAAATAAAAGAAAAAAATTAGACAAAAGTCGCATTTGCTCAGCCACCCAAAGACAGTACACGAATGATCGGTCAGATTAAGTATGTCGATTGAAAATTATGTCCTTAATAGGATGATTCAGGATTCAGAACGAAGATTAGGATTTCTTTCTTTTTTTTCGTTTGAAAAGTAGGGTATTTGGATTTTATCCGTCGAAAAATAGGACATCTCACAATACAATACAAAAACCTGGCCTCAGCACTCTTGATACTGATATTGATAATTACACTGATACTGCATTTGACAACATCCCGCCATGGCACGGGTGCGAAAAATTTCAGAATAAATATATTAAAATATTTTGTTTTATTATGCGCGTGCATGTGGATCTATTTACAAGATGTTCTTTTTATGTGAACTCGATGTTGTGTTGCCGAAAATTCGAATCGTCGCCTAGTTAAAATTTTAAATTGTTTCAAATATTTCAAGTATAAACAGATAATTCGGTAAATTAATTGTAAACAACATGATCATAAACGATTTGGACACATTTCCTCGACACATTAATCACGTTTATAATAAAAACAAATTAGTTTTAATTTTGTCTTTCCCAATGAAACACATCACTAAAACTAAATAAAAAGTTCCATCGTTTAATTTGAGCGCCAAAATGGATAGAAGTGAGCAGAAATCTGAAAAAGTTAACTCGGTAAATAATTCAAGTAAACGTGACATAATTGATTTAAACGACAAAAAATACGTCAGTGATATTTGCCAGGAGGCATTTACACTGGAATCAAGTATGATAACACACCGAGACACAATTCACAATGAAAAAAAAGATTACGCATGCGAAAAATGCGAGCAGAAATTTGTGAAAAAATCGAGTTTGTTCGCGCACCAGAAGTCCGTACACAAAGATCGCGCAAATTTCACGTGCAATAAGTGTGAGAAGAAATTTGAAAATAAATCGTCTTTACTCAAGCACAAAAAAATATTCCACGAGGTTTTTAAAGATTACTTATGTGAAAAGTGCGCTATGAGATTCGGAAATAAAAAGAGTTTGCTCGCTCACATAAAGACAGTACACGATGGTCGGAAAGATTTAGCCATCAAAGTCTTTAATGATTATTTATGTAATAATTGCGAGAAAAAATTTGGGAGTAAATCGGATTTGTTGAGGCATCAAAGAACAGTACACGAAGGTTGCAAAGATTGCGCATACGACAAGTATGAGAAGAAATTTGGGGAACGAGGTACTTTGATCAGGCACCAAAATACAATACATCAAGTTCGCAAAGATTACGCATGTGACAAGTGCGAAAGAAAATTTACTAATAAATGTAATTTACTCTATCACCAAAGATCAGTCCATGAGGGTCGCCAAAATTTCGGATGTGATCAATGTGAGAAATTTGTGAAAAAATCGAGTTTGCTCGCGCACCAGAAGTCAGTACACAAAAGTCGCAAAAATTTTACGTGCAACAAGTGTAAAAAGAAATTTGAAAATAAATCAACTTTACTTAAACACAACCAAATATTCCACGAAGTTTTGAAAGATTACTTATGTGAAAAGTGCGCAAAAAGATTCGGAAGTAAACAGATTTTTCTCGCGCACATAAAGATAGTGCACGACGGTGGCAAAGATTACTTATGCGACAAGTGTGGAGAGAAATTTGGAAGAAAATGGATTTTGGTTCGGCATCAAGAGACAGTCCATGAGGGTCGCAAAGATCATGCATGCGACAGGTGCGATAAGAAATTTGGGATTCGCAAAACTTTGATCGTACATCAAAAAACAGTCCATGAGGGTCGCAAAAATCATGCATGCGACAGGTGCGATAAGAAATTTGGAATTCGCAGATCTTTGATCGTACATCAAAAAACAGTCCATGAGTTTGCATGTAAAAAGTGCGATAAAAAATTTGCCCAAAAACCGAATTTGCTCTCCCACCAAAAGACAGTCCACGAAGGTGGCAAAGATCATGCATGTGACAGGTGCGAGAAAAAATTCGGATTAAAGACAAATTTGGTTATACATCAAAAGACAGTCCATGAAGGTCGCAAAGATTTTGTATGTGATAAGTGCGAGAAAAAATTCGGACACAAATCGGGCTTGCTTTACCACCAAAAGACAGTCCACGAAAATCGCAAAGATCATGCATGTGACAGGTGCGAGAAGAAATTTGGATTAAAGACACATTTGGTTATACATCAAAGAACAGTGCACGTAGGTCGCAAAGATTTTGTATGTGATAAGTGCGAGAAAAAATTCGGACACAAATCGGTTTTGCTTTACCACCAAATGTCAAAACACGAAAATCGCAAAGATCATGCATGTGACAGGTGCGAGAAAAAATTTGTAAATAAATCGACTTTACTTTTGCACCAAAAGTCGATACACGAAGGTCGCAACGATTACGCACGCGAAGATAGCGAGAACAAATAATAATTGAAAATCATAAATATGTGTAGATATTAGTACATATGTTTTTATAAAATTTCAATAAAAATCGTGCACATTTACGATTGTGTAAACTTTTTGTGAACCTCGAGCGTCCAACTGTCATTAAACCTTAGCACACTGACGTTGTAAATTATTACTACTCATTTTTTGTCGACTTAGTTCATGTAGCTCTTCATTCAACAATCAGCTAAAAGTTTTTTTACACGTCTTTTTTAGAACTGAGTGAATTGGGGTGGGCATTAAGTTGGCAACTGCATTTTTAATAAACCTCGCGTAATAAAGTCAAAATGAAAGATTTCGATAGCTTTGCTGACAGACGAATTGTATCTGCTAAAAGAGCCGCGATCGGTAACAACAATATTTTCTACGTGAACTAACTAACGTGGAAACCATTTAATAATCTATGAAAATTTTTGAAGAGAGTACCTCTTCTTCTTGGCTAATTTTTGCCGCCGGATCGATTTTTAAGCAAGGTATAATAAAATTTGAGTACGAAGTTTTTCGCCTGGTTTTCTACTTTATTTTCTTAATATCCACAAAAGTTCCGACGTCGAAGTGAGTCGTGTAACATAGTCGACGCTAGCGATCTGATCGACAACTGAACAACAAAACCACAATTGACGAAAGCCAACGTGATCAGTCGCACGTAAGAGCCGATGTTGGCGCTCTAAACAATATAACGAACATACCGCCCACCTTGCTTAATACAATGAAGCAAATTTATCCAAAAATATAACAAAAAAAAGCAAACATCAATAATTTAACATATAACAAATAAAAAAATTGGCAAACAAAAAAAACTATTCGAGAGGTTCTTCTCCGTCTTCATCCATTGGAAGTTTTACAAGCTTGACTATTGGTCGCATCAGAGTTGATCCTCCGATTCGAAGAGTGACAACTCGCACCAGTCCGTCCTTTCCTGGATGTACAGCCGTAACGAGTCCCAGTGGCCACCTCGCTGGAGGAGAGAGCTCGTCCTTGATGATGACAACGTCACCAACCTTGTAATTTGGCTGCGGCTCTAACCACTTGTTTCTTTGTGCTAGTTGCTGAATCACTTCCTTTCTCCACCTTGTCCAAAAAGAATTTCTCAGCTGAGAAAGCAGACGCCATCCCCTCGACAGTCCGCCTCTGGGAGCCTCCTCAGCGACCTCTGGCAGAGCCAGGCATTCGGCTCCGTTCAGGAAGTGCCCAGGTGTGAGAGCCAATAGGTCGCTCGCGTGGATGCTTGGCTTGCATAAAGGGCGCGAGTTTAGACAGGCCTCAATCTTTGCCGCCAAGGTGGAAAGTTCCTCGAATGTGAGAACGGATGCTCCGACGACTCTCTTGAAGTGGTATTTGAAGCTCTTGACTGCAGCTTCCCACAGTCCGCCGAAATGAGGAGCTCTGGGTGGAATAAACTTCCACTCGGTGCCTTTCATTGCCAGATGCGATGCCACTGACGAATAAAACTCCGACGCCTCTGCGAACATGCGAGCAATCTCCGATGAAGCTCCCTTGAAAGTGGTACCATTGTCGGAAAATAGTTTTTTGCAAACTCCTCGTCGCGCAGCAAAACGTGAGTACGCCGCCAAAAAAGCCTCAGTTGTCAAGTCTGATACAGCTTCAATATGCACAGCCTTGTATGTCATGCACACAAATATGGCAATGTAGCCCTTGGTTGTGATAGCTTTGCGACGCTTTGAGAACCGTACTGTGAAAGGTCCTGCATAGTCGAGTCCTGTGAACGCGAAAGCTCGCTGCGGCGTAAGTCGGTCGACCGGCAACGGAGCCATCTGCTGTTGGCTAGTCTTGGCCCTGAAGCGTGTGCACCTCATGCAGCGACGGCACACCCCAGACACAAGTCTTCGCACGCCTGTGATCCAGAAGCTTTGCTGCAAATGCGAGATTAGCAGCTGAACTCCTCCGTGAAGCGTAGCCCTGTGGTTCTCTTCAACAAGTCGTTTCACGATCTCATCGCTTCCTGGTAAAATGATCGGATGTCGCTCACTGAACGGTATGGGTGCATTATGCAGTCGACCAGTAAGCCGAATCAAATTCCGATCGTCCAGGAACGGAGACAAACGGAAAAGCTCACTTTTCTGTATCAGCGGCTTCTTTTTCTTCAAAAGCTCAAGCTCTTTCCTGTACCATCGCTGCTGTATCAATTTACAGCAAGCGGTTCTAGCCCAATCAATTTCATCAGCTGTCAGCTCAATACAGTTTGAAAATGACACAGTCCTCGATCGAAATCGCGCAAGCCAGCGTCCGCAGTAGCCCAAAACTCTGAGAATTCTCGGAAAGCTCGATATCCGTCGTAGTCTCGAGTACACGATGTCCTCATCTTCTTCTTTCTTCGCCTCCTCTTGTACCAAAAATGCGTGAACCTCCGCCTCTTCTGGCTCTGAGGAACCATCAAATGAATGCCAATCCGCGGCCGGTGCCGTGAGCCAATTTGGCCCCGCCCACCAAAGCGCGAACCCAGCCAACTGCGAAGGCGTGAGTCCTCGTGTGGCGCAGTCTGCCGCATTATGAGCCGATCGTACATGATGCCATACAGCGTTCGGGTACGACGAGTTAATGAAACTGACTCTGTTGGCCACGAAAGTTTGCCAACGCGATGGATGTCCGTCCAACCAATCGAGCACAACTTTTGAATCGCACCAAAAATGCACTTGCTCCGGCTGCGTTTCGACGTTGCTCAAAATCTGCTTCGTCAGCTTGACCAGTAGTTCAGCTCCACAAAGCTCGAGTCGAGGCAATGTTTCCAGCTTGGCAGGTGCGATTTTAGTCTTCGCCATAATCAGTCGCGAAGTGCAGCCCGGGATCACCATGTAGACCGCGGCCGCATAAGCTCTCTTCGATGCGTCTGAGAAGCCATGCAAAATCCAGGTGCTTTGTTCGCTTTTACCGAACCATCTTGGAACTCTGATTTGTTCAACATCACTCAGCGATGCGCGAAAACTCCGCCAGCGACTTAAAAGCTCTCCCTCAAGCGAAGTATCCCAGTCGACTTTCTCGATCCATAGATCCTGCAACAGAATCTTCGCTGTGACGATGACTGGTGCTAGCCATCCCAATGGATCGAACAGCTTCGCAACGTCCGACAAGATGCCTCTTTTCGTTACAATAGAAGCCATTAGCGGCAATGACGGCACGAATAAAAACTCATCCGTTTTTGGGCTCCACTTAAGGCCGAGAGTCGAAACAACATCTTCGATTTTAACTGAGACGTCAGCATCATCCCCTGCATTCAATCCCAGCAGAAGAGCCTGATCATTTGCCGACCATTTTCCAAGCTGCATACATGCCGAATCCATCAATCCAATTAGTTGATCTCTTCGCTTGATTGCCTCAACGACGTCGTCTGCTCCACCAAAAAGGTCATCAACATAGACTCGATGATCCAGCAAACGTGAGGCCTCAGGGTACCGCTCTCGTCCGTCATTCGCAAGCTGTTGCAACACTCGCAGAGACAAAAACGGAGCAGGCGCCGTCCCATAAGTTACTGTAAGCGCTCTGTAATCCCTGATTGCCTGCGTGCTATCCGAGCGCCAGAGTATACGCTGCCAGTCGGTGTCGTCTGGGTGAACCAAAATTTGTCGAAACATCTTTACAATATCTGTAACAAAAACGTACTTGAACTGTCTCCAGCGCGATATAACTACCGTTATATCTTTTTGTAATTTCGGCCCTGGCAACAGCGAATCGTTGAGAGAGACTCGGTTCGCCGCCCTCTGCGAAGCGTTGAATACGACACGAATCTTGTCCTGGTTTCCTGCTCTGAAGACTCCGTGATGTGGCAAATAAAAGCTCTCACGTGACAGCTGTGAGTCCGGCACGAGTTCCATGTGTTTCAAATCGATGTATTCATCCATGAAGTTTTTGTATAACATTGACAGTCGCGGGCTCTTTTCTAATCGTCTCTCCATTCGGTGCAGGCAGGATACGGCGACGTCTCGCGAGCCCTCGAATGATACCTTCTTCGCGAATGGCAAGCGTACGACGTACCTTCCGTCGGCATTTCTCGTTGTAGTTTCCGTGAAATAGTCCTCGCAATATTGCTCTTCGGCTGTTAAATGCTTCGTGGGCTGCAGATCCTCCAGCTGCCAAAATTTCTCAACCAGACCGTGCAAGTCCTCTCGAGCACTCACATGAAACGCGGAAACTGCCGCTGGTGAATCGTCTGGCTTCGGTGTGATTTCTCCGGTTAATATCCAACCAAATACTGTCTGTTGACCAAGTGGGCTTCCAATTGATCCTTTTCGCAGTCCTTCGAGCATTATGAATGGTATCAGCTCAGCTCCGATAACGAATTCCACTTTGTCGGGTTTGTAATACGTAGGATCCGCGAACACGATTCCTCGCAAATGCGGCCAATGATCCTCGGGCAGTCTCGCCGTCGGCAAGAGTCCCGTCAGCTCTCGCATGACCAATGGTTTTGCTCTCACGCTGAAGTTCGCGTCGATTCTTGATCTTATAAACAATTGAGTCTGCTTTCGGACTGTTGACGAGCACTGATCTCCCATTACATGCAAATTTATGTGCACTTTTGACGAGCTTACACATAGAGCTGTCAAGACGCGCTCGGTCACAAACGATCGCTCGGATCCCGGATCTATCATAGCTCGCACCTGTACTCGATTTCCAGATTCGTCTGCCAGGACTATTTGAGCAGTAGCAAGCAATACTTTTGGACTCTTCAGCTTTTGCTGAGCGAAGTAACATGTCGCCGAGCCATCCTCGCCAGCATCAGCGTCCTGCCGAGCCGAGCTCCCTCCATCTTCGATGCTCGCCGAGCCTCTGTGAGCTTGCGAGTCGGCATGAAGCTTAGTATGATGCCGCCCTTGACACACCAAACATCGTCCATCCGAGCGACAATCTCCTGCGTAATGTGAGCCTGACAGACAGTTCAAACATAACTTCTCCTTTTTGCAAAGTTCGAATCTCTGCGGCTGTGACAGCGCCGCGAACTTATGGCAAGAGTAAAGGGCGTGGCTTCCGCGGCAAAGCACACATGCGCGCGCTCCTGGTTTGCCTGCTGCCTGCGCGCTGGTAGTGTGTACAGCTATCTGTTTATGATGCCGATTTGGCGCGCTTTTCGGGAACTTATTGTTTACGTTTGAATTATAACTGCCACTACCTGATGATGTTGTTGATGCAGCCTCCGAAACTCGAATAGATCGCTCCAGAAATTCGGCGAGCTGCGCGTATTTTGGAAATCCGTCGGTCTCGTCTACTTGGCGCTCCCAATCGAGTCTGGTTGCCTGATCCAATTTATTCACCGTATGATGAATGAGCCACAGCTCTCCCATGTGCTCCGGGTCAATCTTTAAATTGTCCAACGCCTGCTTGGACTCACGTATGACGTCCAGCACTCGACGGAGCTCTTCTATAGATTTCTTCTGCATCGCGGGACACGATATGACGTGTGACATATGTGTCGCCAGCAAAACCTTCTTGTTATCGTACCTGTCTAAGATGGCCTGCCACGCACCGTCGTAGTTATCCGCCGTGATCTGGACATTCTTCAATCTGTTCGCTGCTTCACCAGTAAGAGAGCGAATTAAATATTGAAGCTTTAATATTGGTGGGAGGCTTGGCACGTCGTGGACCAAGACGAAGAACATTCCTTTAAATGTTTCCCACTCGAGCTGATCACCGGAGAACTGCGGCAGGTCGATGGTCGGGAGAGGTGCCTTGTAGCGCGGTGCATCAATTCTGATGTCCCGGTACTGCGCATCAGTCTGCAGCGACGTCTGAGAGCGTCCCGGGCTCAAGGCATCCATGATGTCTGTCTTCACCAGAGAATATTGCACGTATACCTCACTGTACACGTCCTCCTTGAAGTACGGGTCCTCAGCGAATTCCGCCTTAACTTTACAGATATTCCTGTGTCCCTTCTGAAATTCATCCCATTGCGTCTCGAGCTGCTCCAACTGTGTCTTAAACCAACTGATTGTCCTACGATCCCTCGGGGTTTTTAACATAGTCTGCCTGAAGCTCTTCAAGAGATCGCCCTGGACCTGCTGATCTGCGAGTACTTGGTCCATTTTGTTCAATGAAAATTTGAGCGCGCGAAACGACGGTTAAATCCAAGATCAAAATCACTCGGCTAGGGAAGTAGCCACGCTCTGCTACCAATGAAAATTTTTGAAGAGAGTACCTCTTCTTCTTGGCTAATTTTTGCCGCCGGATCGATTTTTAAGCAAGGTATAATAAAATTTGAGTACGAAGTTTTTCGCCTGGTTTTCTACTTTATTTTCTTAATATCCACAAAAGTTCCGACGTCGAAGTGAGTCGTGTAACATAGTCGACGCTAGCGATCTGATCGACAACTGAACAACAAAACCACAATTGACGAAAGCCAACGTGATCAGTCGCACGTAAGAGCCGATGTTGGCGCTCTAAACAATATAACGAACAATCTAATTTATAAAACAATTTTTGTTCTTGTATTTCTTCAAAATTCGTAAAAGCTTTCATAATTTTGTTCGAATCGTGTGAGTAGCGAGTGAAAGTTTGATGCAAGTTTGAAAATAATAGCCGATTGTTAGGTGCATTTGTATGAGCTCCAGACGACTCAAAATAATCAAAATTTCATCACCTCGTGTACTTTATTTACGCAGTTCTCTCGATGGGACAAAAAAAAAGACATCGTTCTCTATTATACACGCCTCTCTTTTCACCAGTCGTTGGGGCTTTGATTTTCAACAACACTTCACGATCGCTTATATAGAGGAGAAAAAAAAACAAGAACTCCAACAAAGGCTGTCCCATCATCGAATTTTAGTCTCGTGGGCCACGTGGTGAGTTTATCTTTAAAAAACAGCAGGCAGATTCCGAACTCGGAAACGAAATTATATATATCCGAATGGAGAATTTATAAAGTAATGGCTTCATTATAGTAGCGCGGCAAATATGTCTTATAAGAAGCACGATTATAATATAGAATATTATATAGCAAGATCAGTCATCAGCTGCTTAGCGCCGAAGGATGGTCAAAAGGACTAAAGTTATATACTACACCGATCGAGAAAGAGAAATAGCTGCGAGTCATAGCAAAGAGTGAGATCCTGTTTTGCTGCTCTAATACATGTAACCTTCGAATAGTAGTAGCTAGTTCGAGCCGGATTGTCTCTGGATCGAGAAATGCCGTTTTGTCACGTGCGCGAGCGGCAAAGGTTGAAGACATAATTATCTCACATGCCCTCTACGCGACGATAATCAACCCCTTGAAATCGGCTGACTGGTCACGGTGACGGAAGAAATTTTACAAATATCTCGAGTGTCAACGATCGATCGATATCGATCGATATCGGCAAGAAGCCCGCGTTATGCATACCACACCGCGTCACATAGTGCAGCGTAGATCGACCGCAACGGCCCGTATAACTGCACTCGCGCATGACTGGATAATACGTATAATATCGGCAAGGAGTTGCTACACACACTTTATTACAATCCCGCAGGCTTCCACATTCTCGCGGTGTGTGCATTATTATGCTCTCGACGTCTTTTTTCTCTCTCTCTCTCTCTGTCTCTCGCGTTTGTGTGACACACGGACTGCAGTATTGGCCGACGCGCGACCCGAGATCGTTGATTCCGCGGACTCTCTTTTACGTTACATCTGCTGCCAATTCTCATTGCTTCGATTCCGGCCCTATTTATACACACGTACGTATGTACATTTGCGACAAGGCAAAATCGTCGTTGTTGTTGTTTATTTGTTGGCTTTAATCTTCTCTAAGATAAAACTCGGCGTGCTTCGATCGGCAGCTTTTTGCATATACGTATAGGCAGTCATGCCACTATTATAAAACTGCGGCGCTGCATGTATAAATATATATAAAGCAACAGAGCTCTCTGCGATCGTGGATGTCAGTGTGTCGCCACCCCCCTGCTGCTGTATAAAGAACTGCTGCTGCTGAGACTTGGCCGAATCTCTTTGACTAGATTCACTCTTCTCGATAATACTTTATAAACCCGTCTTTTGGCATTTCCGTTTTGTCTCGATAGTCGAGCCACCGCGGGCGTGCGATATTTTTTTTTCTTTTTTCGTTATACGACGTTGCGGCATTTGGCTGACGTATAGACCATTGATTGCCCACGAGAATAATAAACAGTTCGGAGATCCTTCGCCATGTCGTCGTCGGTGGTGAACGAGGTAAGTTTTTTCATTGATTATATTTTTAAATTTTAATAAAAGTAAATTAGCACGAAATTCGGGACGCGCGAAATACAAGGTGTAACAGCTTTCGGTGCGAATGAGCAGCAGACGCTGCTACGTAAGCATATACTGTGCAGAGAGGCGCTCGACCACCTGTTTTTGTTTTTTTTTTATATGTGTATACTTTCGTACGCGCGGCTGCCTCGCGCACACTTCGCTACCTTACCGCATGCAAAAAAAAAAATATTATAACGTATACGCGAGCGCGCAGGTACGTATAAAGCGCTCGAATCGGAGCGAGAGAAATTTTTTTTGCGGCCAGTTCAAAAATATAAATGTATATTATATACACATCGCGGACGGTGTTAATTAAAATCTTACCACCCTCATTTCTTTTTTTGCTTTATATTTTTACAGAAAGTGGAGTACGACTATATGCCGAGCAACTGGAGCAAGAGATACGGCCCGACGGAATTGTTGGCTCGATACTTTAAATTTTGCGAAAACAGTCGGTATTATTATTATTATTATGCGTAATTAATGTGACATCTGTGTGATTTCGATGTTTATTTTTTTTTGTCATCGATGCAGCAACGGCCCAGGTACGCGGCAGCATCGAGCACGAGCTCGACGTGCCCTACGCGTCCAGCGAGAAGGCCAAGTACGACGTTTACGGGACCAATTTGCCCGATGGTGATTATGAGATTGTTTAATTTATTTATTGATGAACGCATCGATGAATTTAATTTCATAAAAAAGCACGAAAATTAATGGGATTTAATTTTGATTTAAACATTTTCTCGAAATTTAACTCGAATTACACCAAGTTTCACGTATTAATTTCAACAGTTTCCTCGACATTTGAAAGGTAAAATTGAATCGAATTTATACGCATTTGAATCTGTTTGCAGACGCGCCGATACTGCTGTTCATTCACGGAGGCTACTGGATGGAGTTCAGCAAGGACCTGTCGGGTTTCGCCGTGCCGAATTTTGTGGCCAACGGCGTCAAGGTCGTCCTCGCCGGCTACGATCTCTGCCCGAATGGTAACGAAATAATATAAAAAAAATTTCTAATCGTTACATAGTAGTAATTGAAATATCGATCGACCTTTCTCAGTTCGACTACCTGACATAGTCCGTCAAATCAAGACGCTCGTCGCTAAGCTGCTGAATCTAGCCAAGAACTTGGGCTCCAAGTCAGTAATATTTCAACATTCACCTCTACCTATATTTACGCGATAATCACTTATGATCTTTGCTCCAACACACACAGAGGCGTATGGCTGGCCGGCCACAGTGCAGGCGCCCACCTGGCCGCGAGTCTGCTGCACGATCCCGACTGGCTGGCGGCGAATCGCGCCTCGCTGGCTTGGCTCAGGGGCGCCTGGTTCCTCAGCGGCGTCTACGCGCTCGAGCCACTGCTGCGAACCAGCGTCCAGGAGGCCCTCAGACTCACGCCGTAAGACTTTCTCTCGCGTACATTTTTTTTAACGTCGATATGATATATTCCTTTGTTAGGGAGGAGATAGAGAAGTACACGTTCGCACCCCTCGACGAGGGTAAGCAGCAACCGAATCAGCAACACAGCGGCCTGGACAATTTCAAAGCCGTCGTGGTCGTGGGCGAGAGCGACTCGCCGATCTTCGTCGAGGAATCGAGACGCTACGCTCGCGTAAGTTATCGAGACATTTCCTCGTGTGGTGCAAAATCTTCATGATGTACTTTTTTTCCTTCTTTCGTGCAGAGACTCACGAGCATCGTCGACAACGTCGAGTATCTGCTGCTGAGAAACGACGTGGATCACTTCGACATCGTGGAAAATCTGACCAAGGCCGACTTCGTCCTGTCCAGGCACATGGTCGACTCCATCAAACGATCTTAAATGCGAACCGAACTTATTTTATAATGTGCAAAGCTGAGAATAATAAAGACGCCGTCGTTCCGAAAAAGAATAATGCGTTATGTATATATGTACGTAAAAGCCCGACTGATTTCCTAAGCGCTCAGCGGCTGCTGCTGCTGCTATTGTGTGCCACAATAACACGCTGAATAGCATTTGAATAATAATTAATCAACCTGTGCCGCGCGATGACGAGAAATTTTTAACTCCGTAAAAACCGAACGAAAATCTTACAGTAGTGTGTCGTCGCTCGCGCGCGTCTCGACGCGACGATAAGAAAAAGCTTAATTTTACCATACAGTGTGTTGCGATCGATCGTTTCAAGAACTTCCTGATACAGTTACGAGGAAAATAAACGATATTTGGCACTTGTTTATTTTGCGCTCTTTTTGACCGTAAAAAAGAAACATTTTTTTATTTTAAATATACCAGCTCATCTCGACACTCGAAAGTTCCGCAGCGCGCGCATTTGCATTAATTCCGCATTTAACAGATCGCGATGTCGGTTTCCGTAAGTGATCTTTCTCTCTCTCTCTGTTCTTGTGGTTCTTTAATCTGTGCAACGACAAATGATTTTTTCACTAATTTTTAGCTGCACGAAATAAGGTACATGCCCAAGTACTGGAGCAAAAGATTCAAGCCAGCCGAGTTGGTCGACGAATTTTTTCACTACGGTTTCAATAGTATGAGCACGATTCGTTGATTATTTTCTCCATAATGTTTGTTTGTTTGTTTTGCTCATTTTCTCGTTATATTTGTTGAATCAGTCACGAAGGAAGTGCGACGTACCACGAGGAACGAGCTCGACATTCCCTACGACTCCGGAAAGAGAACCAAGTACGACATCTACGGAACTAATTTGCCCAAAGACGCACCGTTGATGGTTTTTCTGCACGGCGGCTACTGGAAGGAGTCGAGCAAGGACGTGTCGGGTTACGCCGTGCCGAGCTTCGTCGCTCAAGGAATCAGGGTCATCGTCGCCGGATACGATCTTTGTCCGGACGGTAAGAGGAAGTGTAGCAATTTTAACTTCGCGATCGAACTTACAGCTGTTTTCTCTCGATGAAATTGCAGTGACCTTGACGGAAATCGTGCGCCAGGTCAAGGTGTTGGCGTCGAAAGTCCTGGAGCAGGCGCACAGCTGGGGATCCAAGTGAGAACAAAATAAAGAGACGCAATTCGTTTGTTTGTTTCTGAAAAAGTATTTTTTTATTAATTCTCTTATAACGATCGAAATAGAAAAAATTTCGACGAACAATAATGAATAAGAACTGTGGACTCTTTCTCTCTCTCTCTCTCTCTCTGGTTTTTTTTCATATGTACAGGCTTTTTAAAATCTATTATTATGTGATTTTCACGCGACAGTTTGCGAGAAAATCGATAAAAACTTTCGATATTTGTCAATAACAGGTGCGTATGGTTCGTTGGTCACAGCGCCGGCGCGCACTTGTTCTCCTGCTTACTGAACGACCGGGCCTGGTTCGAGCTGAACTCGGGGCTCCGTCCGGAGCATCTGGCGCTGCTGCGAGGCGTCGTCCTCGTCAGCGGCCTGTACGAGATCGAACCGGTGCTGCGCACCAGTAATCAGGAGACGCTTAAACTGACTAAGTACGTATTTACAACATGATACTTAAAAATTATAATATTACTTGCACGCGTTTCTTATAACATGATAATATGTTTCCACGTCCGTATATACAAGTTTATAAAAATACAAAAAAATACTTATTGTTACTATCGCTAAAAATAGTAGAATAACATGAGATAATTTATTTGTCTACGTTAACATTTGCAAAAATACTTTACAGAGAGGAGGTAAGGAACTTTTCGTTTTGCCCTCACGACGAAAGCGAAGAAGTCGACCAGGATACCTTGGACTATGCGCAACATATAAAGATAATCCTGGTCGCTGCCGACTCGGAGTCGCCGGCATTCATCGAGGATTCCAGACGCTACGCTCGCGTAATTACTTTTCCTAACTACTAAATATATATACTTTTTGTATCGACAGCTATATCACAAAAATAAAGCTCTTGCGTTGACTTTTTTTCAGAGGTTGATTAAATTGATCGACAGAGTGGAATTCCTGCTGGTACGAGATAATTACGATCACTTCAACGTCGTTGAAGATCTAACAAAAAATGATTACGTGTTGACTCGATTGATAATTAATAATATAGAAAGTACGAAAAACTGGAGCAAGGCTGAGAAGAAATCTTGCAACTGAGCTCTTACTCCGACAACTGAAACAAAAGAAATTAAAAAAAAAATTAATTATATTATGAATAATAATACCTGAACGTAATTATTAATATTATAAATTTAATTGTATAAAAAAAATAAGAAATAAAAATTCTAGCCGATGCCAATAATCTTACCGATTTTTGATCAAAGATCATTTGCGAAATGGTTTATTGTGGTAAGGTCTGCCGCTATTATTGTAACGTGCCCCATGCTCTCTATAATTATGGTTGTTGCGTTGTCTGCCGTGTTGTGTTGATTGCCGTGTCGATCCTGGTTGGAACGGTTGTGCCTGGCACCGTGTTTGCTGGTGTGGTCGTCGGGGTGTTGTATTGTTTGAAATGTAACCTGCTGGCCTATAATTATTCATCTGGTTCTTTGGTTTAATTGTAATTTTAGGGGTTGGAGGCGGCTGCCGACGCGGCGGTGTCGGAGTTGCATCCGAATCATCTAATATAACAACACTATCGTCTAATATTATAACACTATCGTCCGTGTCATTCGATGGAACGGAAGTCGGCACTATTGGTGAATCGCTCCACGTTGTAGGCATGCAACCAAATGGCTTTACCTTTAATAAAGGTTTTGGAGGCGGTGTTTCTTCTACTTTCTTTATTGGAGAAATTTCTTCTTTCGGGCTCGTTTCGGTTGAATTTTGTTTTGTACTTTTATTATCAATATTCTGTTCTTCAGAATATTTTTCAGAATTTTTTTCTTCAATCTGTTTTTTTGCAGGCTCGTCTGAATCTTTGTCGGCACTGTCAGTTTTTTCCGTGGAATTTTTCATGCAGTTTTTTTCTAAATTTTCCTTGTTCATATTTTGGTTCTCTATTCCTGCAAATTAGTGACATTTAAATAAATTGAAAATATAATTTTGAATATATTGTACCTTAACAAACAACACAAAAGCTATTACTTGTCTTATTTTTAGAATCCTTTACTATTTCTGATTCCACTGAATTTCCCACTGAAGTTGCTGGTTCATCATTTTCAATTGCAGTCTTTCTCACAAGTTCCACAATTTTTTCAGAAATATTATCTTCAACATTTGAACTAGGATTAGGAATATTGCATGATTGGTAATGTGGTGAATTTTCTTTATTGTTCAATTCAATGTTCTCAAGTTGATTTCCATCATTTGTTTTAGTTAGGACATTATTACTATTGGCAATTGAAGACAGTTTGTTAATTGACGTCTCTTCCTCAACTTCATTAATTAATTCACTTTGTTGGCAACTTTCCTCCTCACCATCTGAATAAAGATCAAAAGTTAATTTCTGATTTTTGTTAACTTCTACATTTGAAAAAGTACTTTTTGGATTTTGGCTACATTCTTCTTCCTCGCTCAGTTTGTTTTTTTCATCAACAGGCTCTTCTTCATTATCAGAATTGATCAACTGCCTTTCAATTGTTATATCTATTTTTTTATTGATCTCATTATCAATTCTGACCAGTTTTTCCTCACCATCACAATCAATAGATTTATTTTCTGTAGTTTCATCTTGTTTTTTATGGTGATCATTTCCAATTCTGATAGGATCTTCAATACTTGTAGAATCATTTATTTTTTTTTCATCAATTTTTTCTTTCTCTTGTTCTTGATTTTTACAGCTATCATCTTCAATTCTAACAGGATTTTCCACACTATCTGAATCAAATGATTTATTTTCATCAGTTTTGTTTTGTTTTTTACAGTTATCTTCTTTAATTTTGTCAAGTTCCTCCTCATTTTCAGAATCTATAGATCCACTTTTATCAGTTTTGTCTTTATTTTGGTAGTTACTTTCTTCTTTGCTGACAGTATCTTCCTCACTCTCTAAGTCAATTAATTTATTTTCTATAGTTTTCTCTTGTTTTTCAAGATAATTATCTTCATTTCCGATAAGATTTTCCTCGCTGACAGAATCATCAATTTTTTTTTCGTCAATTTTTACTTTTTTCTGTTCTTGATTTTTACAGTTATCATCTTTGATTCTGACAGGCTCTTCCTTACTATTTGAATCAATCAATTGACTTACATTAGTTTTGTCATGTTTTTCATTGTTATCTTCTCTAGCTTTGATAGGCTCATCCTCATTATCAGAATCAATAGATTCACTTTCATCAGATTTGTCTTGATTTTGTAAGTTATTGTTTTCTCTTCTGACAGAAGCTTGCTCAACATCTGAATCAATCAAATGACTGGTATCCATTTTCTCTTGTTTTTTATTGCTATCTTTTTTAATTGCAACACCCTCTTCTTTGCTATCCGAATCAACCAGTTGACTTCTAAAACTTTCATCTAGTTCCTCATAGTTATATTCCTTACATCTGACAGGCTCTTCGTCACTATCAGAATCAATCACTTCCACTTCTATGATTTTTTCTTTTTCCTGTTTTTCATGTTTTTTAGAGTCAACCTCTTCAATTCTGATATATTTGTCCTCACTATCAGAATCAATTACTTTTTCTTTGTTAGTTTTGTCTTTTCTATGTTTTCCTTGTTTTTTATAGTTTTTCTTATCAATACTGACAGGCTCTTCCTCGCTATCAGAATCAATCAATTTAGTTTTGTTAGTTTTATCTTGTTTTTTATAGTTTTTCTTTTCAATACTGACAGGCTCTTCCTCGCTATCAGAATCAGTCACTTTATTTTTACTAGTTTCTTTTTTTTGTTTATATTGTTTATTGCTTTTATTTTTTTCAATTTTAGCAGGCTCCTCTCCCTCACTATCAGTATCAATTAAGGTAACTTCATGTATTTCTTTTACTTTCTGTTTTTCTTTTTTTCGATAGTTAATTTTTTCTTTACTGACAAATTCTTTTTCACTGTCAGAATCAATTAATTCTTTATAATTATTTTTTTGTTTTTCTTGTTTTCTACAGTGATCATTTTCGAAATCATCCAATTTCAACTTTTTATAATTTTGAGGTTCCTCTTCACTATCAGAATTAGAATCACCAGTATCCTGTTGCATTTGTTCTAATTCTTCTTTAGATAATCCATTTTGCTTATCTTCATATAATTTGAATATTTCTGACAATTTTTTATCACCTTCTTCCTTGTTCTTCTTTAGAGTGCATTCCAACTCTTGATTTCCTTTGGCAGGATCTTCATTATCGCCAAATTCTTGTGCTATAGAATCAAAAAAGACTCTGCTTTCTTTAGTTCTACACTTTTGTAAGTAATGACTGACCGCTTTAAATGATTGGCAAGCTAAAAAAATAAATTATAATAATTAAAATTTTCTTTAATTCATATACAAATAAAACTTACCCATATTATCAATTTTAGTACTTGATAGCTTAAGATTATAAGTGGTATTACATTTAACAACAACATTTTTGACATCTAGAAAATCTGGTGTTTCGAAGAAATCAGGGTTGGCATTCACATTCTCTATGTGTTTGAATTTGTTAATTTTAGATATTCTTCTGTTATAAAATTTTATAATTTCATCATCAACAACTGAAATGCCACTCATTTCACTTTTGATTTTTTCTTTAGACAATCTCATTTTCTGATTCAAATTTTTTTCAAGTTCAGTATTTTTTTCATATTTAGCTAGTACTTTGGCAAGTTCTATAAGCTTCTTTTTATAGCGATCTTCTTTTATATAAGCTGAATTATCTTCATCATCGAAATCAACTTCTTCTTCTTCAAGCTGTTTAATCCTGTCTCTACATTGTTGCATTTTTTTTTTAATTAAATCAATTTTTTGTTGTAATCCTGGTGATATATCATTATTTTGATCAGAATCATCTTCATTACTCTTCCGTTCAATTTTAGACTGCTTTAATCTTAAATTCAATTCTTCTTTAACATCAAGCATATGTTTAAACACAGTTTTAGATTCATCACTGCTTATTTTGCACATCTTTTGAATTTTGTTACTCATAAAAAGTTTTAACTCTTGATTATTTGTTTCTTCATGACTGAGCTTATTGAAAGGTTTTTTCAATTGTTCTATGCATTTATTGATGTCAGTATCGATACAATTTTCCTTGCAAACTTCCAAAAATTTTGCAAATATCTCTTCTCCACTATTTGTTATATCTATTTTATTTTTTACTACAAGCGTTGGTTTGACTTTTGTAACTGTTTCTTTTGGTGTCTCATTAGGTACATTTTTTGCCAGACTAGATTTTTCCAAAGGCTCTTGTGATTTCTTATTTTTTCCTGTTTTATCTTCGTTTACGTTACTAATTGGATTTTTGTCTGACGTTGAAAGTTTTCTAGGAGCTGAAGAAGTCGAAGGTTTGTTTTTTGTCGATTCATTTTTTTTATTAAATATTCCACAGAAGACTGGAGATGTTTTTGGAGAAGATTTAAATTTTTTTACATCAATTTTGGAGTCTTCTGAGGAATTTTTCCTTTTATTATTTCTAGAATTCTTGGAGACAGTAGGTGGTGTCTGAAAATATTATTATGTCCTATCAGTATCAAGTTTCCGTAATGTGTTCAAATGATTTGTTTCGAAAGTACTTTTGATTCGAACGAATAACAAATACAAGCAACCGCAAAGAATTGATGATAAAAGTTTGAAAAATTTAACCTCAAACGAATTATTATTACTAAGAATTAAATACCTTCGAAAATTCTTCGTCGTCCGACGAACTAATGCAAATTACGTCCACCTCGTTATCCATCATTGTTCGAGTATAATAGATCGCCGTTTTCCAGGGCTATCGGTGATTTTTCGAGCTATTTTCATGTATATGTGCGCACCAATTTACAACGACATTCAGCAGTAGCAGGAGCAGCAACACAACAGTCCTCTTTTGTTCGGTGCGAAGTCGACGACTCTGCACAACTATATATGTTTACGAGATAAGCGATTGCGAATTTGACCGCGCAGTTCGCGGGCGAATGAGAAAAATCCGCTTAGTTTTGTGTTTTGGTGCGAGAAACTCGCTTGCGAGTCTCGACTCGCTTTTGACGTGACCTCGCTGTAGTGTAGTATAATAACGACAAAGCACTGTACTGTGGCGACTCGGATCCTCGCGGTCGCAAATTGTCAGCGAATTTGCAAAATTACGTTATAGATATGTACGTTTCGCGATGCTCGAACGCACGATTTCGCGGCCTTTTTCGGTCCCCGTGACCGAACGAGTCACGTGACGGTCTCGAGCGCGATGCGCAGTCGCGGAGACAAGATTCAAGAAGTGCAGCAATGCGCATTGCGCGGCCGTAACAAAATATAACCTCAGCCTCCACATGTTGGAAGCAACAAGGCAACAAGCCTCACTTCGTTGTACCCTCTCTCAGCTTCGAGTGGACGGCGGCCTTAGTACACACCGTTTGCCCGCGCATCGTTTCGAAACCCACGTGTTTGTTCTTTATCCGCAAGCTCAAGTTTAAACAAATCAATATGTCTGAAATAGGTAAGTCAGAAATTGTTTGCAACATTTTGTACGATTATTTTTACAATAGCTCCTTTGTGTGATAAACGCTGTCGCGCACTTTTTTCACGAGTACTTCTTTATGCACGTGTGGCCCGTACCGGCGATTTTCAATTTTAAACACGTGGTTAATGCGTGACTTCGGCATTAATTTTTCCATTATATTAGACTGCCAGAGTGATAATTATACAAATCCTTGTTGCTTTTTTTATGCTATAACTTTATTTTGCGTTCATAAGCCGAAAAATTAAGTACTAATATGACTTTTGAAGTGGGGTTAGACATTAAATTTTTTAGAGGTTATCCATGAGCTCAACAACTCAATGTTTTTAAATCCATTGAATAAGTACTAATCAATTGTGTCATTTATTTTTAATTTGTTGTTTAGAAGTCGAAAAGAAGAAGAGGAAGAGAAGCAAGGCAGAAGACACCATGTCCTTGGGTGAGGCTCAAATCAAGATGAAATGTCACATCGAACCATCAGAGGGTCTTCCTCCCAAGCTAGAGTGCCAGGACTGGCCTCTTCTTTTCAAAAATTTTGACAAGATGATTTGTCGCACCAAGCACTTCACACCCCTTGTCAGTGGCTCGGCTCCTCTACACAGAGATATCTCAGAGTATGTCCAGTCAGGTTGCATCAATCTGGACAAACCATCCAACCCGTCGTCTCACGAGGTCGTGGCTTGGATTAAGAGAATCTTGAAAGTACAGAAGACCGGCCATTCAGGTACATTGGATCCTAAAGTATCCGGTTGTTTGATTGTTTGCATAGATAGAGCTACGCGTTTGGCTAAATCTCAACAGTCTGCCGGTAAAGAGTACGTTGCTGTATTCAAACTTCATTCAGCTGTGGATGATGTTAAGAAAGTATGTTGACCATCAATACTTTTATTTTACCCATACATTGAAATGAATTTTATTTTTCAATTATAACTTACTTATATTTTTACATTGGTGTTTTGTATAGGTGTATCAAGGATTAGAAAAACTAAAAGGTGCTCTATTCCAAAGACCCCCTCTTATTTCGGCAGTAAAACGTCAATTGAGAGTAAGGAAAGTCTATGACAGTTGGTTATTAGATTATGATACCGAAAGAAATATGGGAATTTTTAGAGTTAGTTGTGAAGCTGGTTCTTATATCAGAACTATGTGTGTACATTTGGGCTTATTCCTTGGCACCGGATGTCAAATGACAGAGCTCAGAAGAAATCGATCAGGTATTATGTCTGAAAAAGAAGGTTTAGTAACCATGCATGATATCCTTGATGCTCAATGGTTGTATGAAAATCATGGTGATGAATCTTACTTAAGAAGAGTCATAAAGCCATTGGAAACTCTTCTTGTCAATCACAAAAGAATCATTGTTAAAGACAGTGCTGTAAGTACATGCTTTTAAATTATAAAATATCATTCAACATTATTTTTATGAATAAATTCTTACATTAACTTCTTTTATTTTAGGTGAATGCTATTTGCTATGGAGCTAAAATTATGTTACCTGGTGTACTTATGTATGATAATGATATCCAATTGAATGAAGAAATTGTTATTGTCACAACAAAAGGAGAAGCTATTGCTTTAGCTATTGCTCTAATGACAACACCTACGATGTCTGCTTGTGATCATGGTGTTGTTGCTAAAATTAAGCGAGTTATCATGGAAAGAGATGCTTACCCCAGAAAATGGGGTTTGGGTGCCACAGCTCTCAAAAAGAAGCGTTTAGTTTCTGAGGGCAAATTGGACAAGCACGGAAAACCCAATGAAAACACACCAGACGATTGGCTCTCTGGATACAAAGATTACACTGCAGTGAAGGTAAAAATGCACTTTAAAATTTTGTATTATTATTATAAAGTATCTCTTGAATTTTTATTAATTCGAATATTTTAAAAATTTCAGACTGAACCTGAAGAGAATGGAGAAAAGAAACTGGTGGAGGAAATCGAAGAGACTCCTAAAGAAAGTCCTAAAAAAGAAACAAAGAAACGCAAACGCGATCCCTCAGTCTCTGATGCAGAAGGAGACAGTAAAATGGTAGAAGGTTCTGATGGAGAAAATGCTGAGGCAGTTAAGGAAAAGAAAAAGAAGGACAAGAAGAAGAAGAAAGAAAAGAAAGAAAAAAAGAGAGAGAAGAAAGATAAAGAAGCGGAGGAAGATGTTGAATAAAATGTGACCTTAGGCTAGAAAAGATGATAGGATTTGTTTATATTAAGAATCTAATGTCCATTGGTGATTCGAAAAATTTCCACAAAATCTTGTTTATATTTTATCATGCATGAAATTGCTCAAATATATTGTAATTATATTTAAAATGAAAGTTCTCAAGTATAGTTTGTAAGTGTAACTATGCTCTTTTTGTATGATGTTTGACTTTTTTCTTTAATCATAAAGAGACTGCAAATTCTTTGAATAAATTCAATGGCAATTATTTTGTACAATTATGTTAGTTTTGTAAAGAATTTATTATTTTCATTAAAATTCTGAAAATACGATAAATACAAGGCTTATTAATTTTACACAATTTCTTCTGGCAAATATTAATTGGATCAGTACAAAAAATATTAATAAAAGTTGTATGTATCCATAATATATATTTTTTGAATGGGTAATTTTTAAGACTACTCAGTCGAATTATTTAAAAACAACAGTATCAAGCATTGCTCCTAAACATTGGACGATATTTGTTGTCATCAGATTATCAACTTTTTCTTCCAAATGACGCTTAGGATCTTGTTTACCAACGTTTTTGATAGCTAGCTGCTCTGGAGTCATTTTTTCTTCATCTTCAAGAGCCTAAGATAGTAAAATTTTTTAGAATTGATCTATAAAACATCATAATTTATTGAAAAAGACTTACTTTGTTGTAATTTTTGGCAAGTTCAAGCATTTCTTGAACAATATTTTCATTGAATTTACAATGTTCAGAATACTCAGCCAGAGTTAAACCATCCATCCAAGTCTTTTTGTGTAAATTAAGTAACATTTTCTGTTCAAGTTCATTTTTACGATAATTAATGCTTATGCTATAGTAATGTCTATTTAATCCATGTATCAGTGCTTGAACTGATGGTTTTTGAAGATGACCTAAATTAGATGTTGTTTGACGAGGTTCCTGACCTAGTACCTGAAAATAAGTTGATTTTTTATTGAATTTGAACTGAAGCTCATCATTGAGTTTTCTTTTGAATTTATGAATATTTAAAAATTATGATAAACCTACCATCATATTAGGGTTGATTAATCTAAAAGCATCTATAACAACTTTTCCTTTTACTGACTGGATCGGGTCAATTACAACAGCAACTGCTCTTTCACTAAGAGCTTCAAAAGATTGTTGTGTGTTTATGTCAACACCTGATAACCAACAACCAAAACCAGGATGTGAATGGTACCAACCGACTACCATTTCGGGTCTACCAGTTTGCTTCAGCATATCCAACATTTTTGCTTGAAATACAGGATCCACTGCTTCTACACTGACACCCTAGAATCATATTAACATAAAAGTTGTAACAATAAAAGTTGAGTCATTGCTGTAACAATTATAAAAAAAATCCTCACAGTTCCAGTCTGTGGCATAGCGAATACATCAATAACTCTGACAGTGTAATCATCAACAAATTCACCCAACATCAAACCCATGACTTCCATGGGAACACCGGCTCTTCCGTGTTTTAACATTTTAAGAAGTGCCAAGGAAGATATATAAACCTGAAAAATAAGCAGCCATTGTTTAATCGAAAGTTGAATCTTGCAGTTGAAAAAATCTAAACATATACCTGCTCAGCAGTGTCTACAACAGGAGCGTCGGTTGGTGGTGGACCTTGCCCCAAGCTCGGCAATCCACCGCCCAGTCGTAATAATCTATCCATATTTTTCAAAGTTGCTTAACGAATTTTCCTTGAAGAAGATTTTTTCATTAATTTTACGAAAGAATTCAGAAATTGGGAGTCGCTCGAAAGAATAGGTTATAGGATGCAGCGGCGGCTCATGACGTTTATTCTTTCCAACCGACCAGAGAACGAGGATATGACAAATTAAAAACACCGAAGTAAACTCACCCTCGCTATAGAAAGGCAGTGCAGTAACGACAGGATTCCTATCGGGTAAAAGTAAATGAAACGATCGAGTAAAATGTTGATGAACCTCGAGCGCTGCAGTACACACAACACAGCAGAGGTTCACTCTGCAAATTTGCACACTCACTGGATAGAAGTTCTTCGATGTATACAGCAAAATTCGTGTATACTCGCGTGTAAAGTCTGCGCACCGTAAGAGGCAGCACGAGAGCTGCGGCCGCCTATACCACGATATCACACACATTTACTGTTTGCGATTTTCTACTGCTCTGCGTGGGGGTCGTCGCGTTTTATACCGACGACGTGTCCACATCCGAGAGAAATTTGAACAACAATATGGATAATGTGACTGAACTGCAGCAAAAATCTGACGTATCCCATAAACAATCCACGGTCTTAAGTTCCAAACTCAGTGCCGGACCGCATGGCTTAGGTAACGCTTTTTTTGTTGCTCCTCTCGATGAAACTTTTGCACGTCGAGCTCGACTTTTTTACGAGAGGGTTAAAAAATTCGAGCGAAACTTTTAAAATGAGCTTTTTATGATCGCCCAGTGAAAGCTGATGCAGGTTATGATAATGTTGATAATTTATTGCCGTAAACAAGTCGATATGGTGGTTTCGTGCTGATTTTTCATTGATCAATTGTCCTGCTACTAAAAGCGAAAATGAAAATTGGGTCGTTACGCGACAAGTTGCAATTTAGGTATTTCGTTATTTTTGTTAATAAATTGAACATTGATTTGCTTAGGTGATCCCGACGATTTGTCGCTGAGGAAAGTCGAAAGAGATATTCTCATACCGAAAATTGTCCGAGAAAGAAGTAGAACGGAAAAGTGCGTTCCAGAAGTCGAAGGTACATGTCATTTTCTGCTTAAATTTTAAAAATGTTTTTGAATTTTAACGAACTTAGTAAATCTTTTGTTGGTGTAGCTTTCACGCAATGCTGTAAGGATAGTAATGTTTTTATGGTACTCGCTTGCAGAAAACAAAATTCTGAGCTGAAAGATTGCTTGGCTCGTTGGTTTCAAGATAAAAATTTCTACAACGAATGCAGGGACCAGTACTTGAAACAAAGATCTGAATACAGAAGAACTGGTGAACCCCAAAAAGTGAGAGAATTCAAAGCTCGTGTCAGAGGTGGAATGTTTTAAATAATAGAATAACTTTATTCTGTTGGTATATTCAAATTATGAATTCTCTGATTGATTTCCTTATGTAAACTTAGTTTTTTTTTATGTAAAGCTCAACAATCTTATATGTATGATGAAACATCATAAACAGTGTTTGCAATAATTTAAAATCAGTTATTGACAATTATTGTGTGCACCTGTTGAATTTTTAAACATTAGGTAAATAATACTAGCAATTATGGAGTACTTTAAAAGCAGCATTAAATATGTGGTTGGGACTACGCCCGAGCCTGAAGTTAAACCATCTGGAGCTGAGATGATAGAGAGACTAGTCAACAGATTGCAATCATCCTCTTTATTAGATGACAGAAGAGATGCTTGTAGAGCTCTTAAAGCCCTTTCAAGAAATCACAGAGTAGAAGTTGGAGCACTTGCAATGGAGCCTTTATTACAAGTTTTACATATGGACAAAACAGACTCTGAAATAGTTGCATTGGCTTTAGATACTCTGTGTAATATTACGAGCAAAGAGGTGTTCGATGATGAAGATGAAGCTAAACACAATATTGGAGAAGAATTTACAGAAATTCTTGTCAAGAATGAAAGCAGTGTTAGCAGGATATTAATGTTCCTAGAAGAATTTGAATCTAAGGTCAGATGGCCAGCTTTAAAGATACTGTCAAACTTATTAACTCATAAATTAAAAATTGTCCAAGAAATAATTTTAGTTAGTCCTATGGGCATATCAAAGCTTATGGATATACTTGCAGATACTAGAGAAGTTATTAGGAATGATGCTCTCTTGGTGCTTATACAACTGACCAAAGCAAACTCAAACATACAGAAAATCGTGGCATTTGAAAATGCTTTTGACAGAATATTTATTCTCATTCATCATGAGGGAGGATTAGAAGGAGGAATTGTAGTCGAAGATTGCCTTATTCTTATGTTAAATTTACTCAGAAGTAATTATAGTAATCAAAATTTCTTCAAAGAAGGAAGTTACATTCAAAAACTTACACCAATGTTTGAATTGCTCACTACTTGTGCTGATGAGCCAAATGGCTGGAGTCCACAAAAAATGTCCAATGTATATTGCCTTACTCAGATAGTAAGAGCTCTTGTAGCTCCAAACGGGCCTGCTCAATCAGTCGCTGCATGTCAGAAAATAATGAAATCTTGTGGTTTACTTGAAACTCTTTGTAATATACTAATGATGGTTGGAATTCCACAGGACACTCTGACTGAATTAATCAACACAGTAGCTGAAATCATTCGAGGTGACGATATTAATCAAGAATTTTTAGCAAATGTCATGGCCCCTAGTAATCCACCAAGACCTGTTATTCTTGTCTTGTTGATGTCCATGATCAATGACAAACAAACTTTTTCATTGAGATGTGCCGTACTTTACTGTTTTCAATGCTTTCTGTATAAAAATGTGACCAAACAAATGGAGCTTGTGCAAACACTTCTTCCACAAGGAACTGATAGACCATCGTTAACATCAGGTCAACTGTTATGTGGCGGTATTTGCTCATCAGATTCACTGTCGATATGGTTTTCAGCAGTAGCATTGTCACATGCTTTAATAGAAGGCACAAAGCAAAAAGAAGAGCTGGTTAAAGTTCACTTAGCTACAAATATTGGAACTCCTCCAGTGTCGTTGATGTCACAATGCATAACTCTTCTTCAACAAAATAATAATATTCAGTCAAAATTAGGAATTTTAATACTACTGTGTACGTGGACTGCGTACAGTCCAGCCGCTGTCAAAGCTTTCGTATCAATCGAATTTTCCGTATCGTATCTCATTGCTCTTCTATCGTCGCACGAATTTACCGAAGACGTGCAAGAAATATTGCTTAAGAGTATGTGCGCTTTTCTCATCGGAATATGCGTGCATTTCAACGACGACAGCGTGCCCAAGTACACCAAGTCAAAATTGCGCGATATCGTTGAGAATAGAATAGGACTGGAAAAGATCCAAGACACCATCGGTAACATTACGAAACACGAAGTTTATTCGCGCACGCTGAAGCATCCGCAGTTATCCGTCAAAACTTCCGAAGAAATTCTCTTGGATCACGAGTTTTGTAGATTGCTGAAAAATCTGGAAACAGTCGTATTGAAAACCATATCCAGCAAAGGAGACGCGAACAATCACAACGAAGATTCTCACAATTACAATCTGCCAGAAAATCCAATGATAGCGCAGTATAAGGATTTGATAAGGGAACAGGATGCAAAAATAACGATGCTCATCGATACGGTCAATGGTCTAACGAAAGAAAAGCACGACTTAGTATTTCAAATGGATCAATTGAGGTCGAAGGTCGATTCCTTGGTGGATGAAAATAAAGTCCTTAGAGCGGCTCACGCAAGTTTTTCCGACAAGTTAAACCAAGCCGAAAATAATCATACCAGCCATGAAAAATGTCTCAAGCAAATTCAAATTCTTCAAGAGCAAGTCAAGAGATGCGAGGATCTCGAGAATCAAATCAGTAAATACGAAGACATTATAAAAGAAATGAAGAGTGACAATTCGGAAAATGCCATTATCGAAAAGTTGGATAAAGAAATTGCTGAAAAAACGCAGTCATTGAATAAATTAACTCAAGATCAGAATGATTTGTTGGCCCTAATGATGGATCAAGATAAGCTAATTGACAAGTACCAAAAGAAACTTGCTAGTTTAGGCATATCTTGCGATGAGGATGAGTGTTGTGTTGAACATGTTGAAAATCACAATGATAGTGCTGTAACTAATGAAAAATATAATTAAAATCCAAGCAAAGTACTCCAATTAAACATGTTTTGTATTAAAATTAAATGCTTTTCGAAAATTTACTTTAATTAATTAATATACTTGCATAACCACCAATATATGCTTTCAACTTTATATTTGTATATTACATATATAAAAATTGCTAGTAACATCTATTACTCCTTCGATTTTTTTTTTATTTTAAACTCGATAATTCAAGTGTGTATTAATTTCATATTATTATTAATTTCATATTATTATTAATTTAACATTCCATTATATGAAAAAGCTTGTTTGAAAGACCTAATGCACGAGGAGTTGACTTATTTACATTGTTTTTGTGTTGTTCTATTTGTAAAATAAATTTACTAATATTATTTAGTGTGCACTTGATCTGTACAAAAATTCCATATCTTATAAATAAAACATTGATTGTAAGTACATTATCTCTTTTTTATATACAATTTTGGATTATGTACTTAGTAGCATCAAGAAGAATAACCATCCTCTTCATCCTCATCTTCCTTTGTATTTGAAGAAAAAGTATCCTGTTTTAATTTCCTACGTCTACACAATACTTCTCTAACAGTGAATTGAGAAAGTACTTCCTCAACAGTAAATTGAGAAAATGATGCTGGGGCTCCATTTAATGGAACTGTTGATGGCCACATTACTTGAGCAAACAAAATTTCCTGTTGATTTTAAAATATTTTAACTTAAAAAGAATTTAAGTTTTTTAATTAAAAAATTACTTTAACTAAATTTACATACTTTTCCTACTGATTCTGCTGTTCTTAGCATGCCTGTTAACCTATTCCCACTTGTATTTGTCATACACTTTTCTTCAATTTTTTTAAAACTAACAGCATCCAACACTTCAATTATAACAATGTATGAAGAGTGATAATATGGTGGGCCTCCTCTATAAAGCACTGCAAAAAGATATTATTTTTAAATATATTCATGTCTTGATAAAAAAAACAAGATTTATTAAATATAAAGGGTACTTACAGAAATCTCCACCATACTTTAGGCCACTTTTCACGATCCAACCTTTACTACGAAAATAGTGATAAGTTACATAATTGTGTAAAAAATTTGGATTTTTATTCAAGTAATCCCAAAACTCTCTCAAGCTAAGAATTTTTCCATCAAGATCAATGACACTTAGACATCCAAGACCATAAGCCAAAAAAAAAGTTTCTGCAAATGTCAAATGCAAAGTCTCTATGACTGGAAAGTTTTCATTTTTTATTCTAGGTTTGCAGTTGATTAAGTAGTTTTCATCTGTATCAGAGTCACTATCTTCCAAAACCAATAATTTTCCCTGTAGTTCTGAGTGTTCCTTGGAAAAATTATTATCCGTAGTCCATACTTCTCCATTTGTCATGAATTGATTATTTATTTGATAGTATTCATCTAAAGTACCAGAGGTATCTTCTTCTTCAGTGGAATCAAGAATAACTTCATCATTTTCTGTGTCTGCTTCACAACTTTCCTCATTGATTTGATTATCTTTCATATCATTATCCAACGTTTCAATATCAACTGCTGGTTTATCTTGATTTTCATTATCTAAATCAATAATATCTGAATCAATTGATGAATTATGAGTTTCAGAAGAGTCAATAGAATTTTTTGCATCTGTCTTAATTTCACCTGAAAAATTGCAACATATCAATTTAATACATTTCACTCAAGATGAGAAACTGATTATTTTTTCAAGGCTTGCTGGAATGTACCTTCAGATATTGATCGACCATTTGCACTTTTGTCATCCTCAAACGCAGTCTCTCTGCTAAACTTTTTTACTTGATCGAACCATTCTTGTCGCCTCTTATACTGTCTGTCACGTATGACAGGTGGTGCACCAAAACGTACCCTACCGAATTGTGGTTCACTTTTTGACAGGGATCCTTTTCCAAAAAAGCCCTAAGTTGCACAAGTTAATTTAAAATAATTATCAAAATACTTATAGATACAAGTACTGGAAATAAATTTACCATTTCGTAGATTTTTTTCATCGCAACTGGGTCAGTAACGCAAGATCCCAATGGAGTTAAGTTTGCATGAAATTTCGTTAATTCGCCCTTACTGCTGTACTCCAAAGGCAAAGTTGAGATAACCTCTCTCATGCATCTCTTCTTCTTTACTGGTTCTTTTAGTTCCATCTCGTACATTTTTTTAAATCACTAATGATTTGTTGAAAAAAATATTACAAGTTACAAGGGTAATCTTAAAAACACTCTTCCTCGCTCGAGCTTATGTACTTACACTGTGACACATTGAATCGCGAGTGTTGTCCTGTGCAACTCTTTGCATACACGCCGGCGATTACTTATTCAACTTGATACAATTTTCCTCACTGGTCGCATGATATGCTGTTCAATCCCTAATAATTTAATTAACAAAAAAATATTCAATTGAAGCATTGTGCATCAAAATACAAACTTGATGCTTTATGATTTTACGTTGAAAATGCAATCGAAACATTAATTTGCATTATGATCGTTGAAAAATCTTACCTTTATAGCATCGATCAAAAACGAATCTGATATATCGTTTAAAAAATAATTGCAACTTAATCCATATTTTATAGACCTATAAACAGTAGTAGAGCATGTGTCATAATTTACACTGCGCTCAATCGCACGCGACCCGATGTTTGTGTATGGAAAGCCGCACGGTTAACCCCCACCCGATTCCCCACACATTCTGGTCGATAATGTCGAACCTCTGCATATCAGCAATGTCTTCTGCGGCTGCGGCGGCGGCGGCGGCCCCGTAGCATAGAGAACAGTCAACAGACTGAACTGATATTACATTGGTGCGTGTGTAGTGTATGATTTGTAGACTCACCAGGTGCATGATATCCGTGAGGAAGGGACGCTGCCGTTTCGTGTGTGGTAAAACCGTGTCGTGTAGCAGCGATTGAACAAAATCGTTGTTTAACAAAACAGAAACAACACAGCAAAATGGCTCGAACGATGGGCTGCCATCAGCTGGTCCGGTGCCTCCTCGTACTTTTTACTCTCTTCAATTTGTCATTTTGCCTTTACGAAGATCAAGTTGGCAAATTCGACTGGTGAGTTGGCGATTTCATATCAGTGCGATTAGGCGTTCTGCTTCGAAACTTCACTTTCGTTCAAAGTTTTTCAAACTCGTGTGTGATGGTTGATACTCGTTTCTCTGCGCCGAAAGATACGAAAATTCTTGCAATTTTTTGAGGTTTGGTTAAACGCGACAATACAAAATTTTACGATGTAGCATGACTGTAGCTTTTTTGACTGAATTTTTTGAATGTTCTCCATAAATGAATTATCAAATAAATGTTATGAATTTTATTTACACAATTGCAGTGTTAAAAACAACTGGCATGCGTTTTTATAAGTTCATTGACAGTTTTGTTATATTAACAAGCGTCGTAGAGAGATCTCTTCAAAATGACTAAAATTTCCTTTTTCTTTATTCTGCAGGAAACAAAGCTATGTAGGAAAAATTAAGTTTGCTACTTTTGATACTGCCACAAATCCTAAGAAGATAATTGTGGCTACAGAAGAAAATGTCATAGCAGCTTTGAATATAAATTCAGGTTTGTATGATTTTATCATTAATTATTTTTATATAAATATGCTTTTTAAAATGAATACATCGATAAAATTATCTATCAAATTTACAGGACAACTGTTATGGAGAAGAGTATTAGAAAAAGGATATGCTGGTCATATCCGTGCCTTTGGCCATGCAAACGACAAAGAACTTGTCACTGTAAATGGTGGAGTACCAGCTATCGTTCGATATTGGAATGTGGCCACTGGTCATATCCTAAATGAATGGTCCTTAGCTGAGCAGAATCCAGATAAGTTAGTAATTTAAAAAAATTCAATACTCAGATAACTCTAGAAAATTTTTTTTTATCTCTTTTGTTGATTTTTGCTTAATTATAACGTGTCTATTACAGAATTGATTCTCCATTTATATCATATACAACTGAAGGACTTTACAGTAGTGAAAGGTTTTCTTTAAAAAATTTGTCAAGTCCACTTAAAAGCACATTCAAATAAAAAATTAACTAAATGTCAAAAACCTTTTCACATGTTATCACTACTTAATGTTTTCTATGTTTCAATGTTCCAAAACTATTAATCCATATGAAGTATTGCTATATTATTCAGATGAAGAACAGAATAATTAAATGCTAACAATTGTTTTAAATTTTTAGAATAGAAGATATTCAATGGTACATAAAAGATGGTACTTTGCATCACGTTTTGCCAGTATACAATAGTGGAATTGAGATATCATCCTACGATTGCAAAACTGGAGAAAAATTGAAGTCTAGAAAAATTTCGGCGCCATTTATATCGCCCGAGACTGAGTAAGTTGCGCAAAGCTATAATTTATGAAGAAAGTTATTGTTCAAAATGTATATCTTAATATGATTTTTCAGATGTGTCTTAGCTGCACCAAATTACGTTTGCCTCAGTGGTGACAGTAACTTAGCTATTCTTTTTTATGTAAACATATTTGAATTAAAATCGGAACCTCAATCTATAACTATAAACACAATTTTTGGTGCTGGCACTCAAGGGCCGTACCAAATTTCGCTCGTTCCTGGAAACACGGCTGCCATACTGATAAGTGCTGAAAATAATCGAAGAAAACGTCTAGTACAATTGGAAAAAGAACCGATTTTGATTCCTCGTGATATAAATGGTGACAATTCCGTTTACATTGCCACAATTGATAATAATAAAGTAGTATTAGAAACTTCATATAAAAATGATGTAAGTATTCCTACCTATTGGTTTTTTTTTAAATGATTTATTTCTTAATGAATCTTTTTCCTTTGTAGGTCACAACAATAACAACAACAGAACTTTCGACTTCGACCGATCCTAATACGGAAAAAGTAGCATACGTAGCAAATAATGTAATTTACAAACCTTCGATCGCTGCAATTCACTGCCAACCTCAATCCCTCAAGGGTAAATTGTGCAAGTATTTACTTACTAACGAAGACGACAGCGTGAGCTTACTGCAACAAAAAGTCATGTGGACTCGCGAAGAGGCACTGGCCAACATAGTTGCCGTTGAATTCGTCGAATTACCGATGTCTGAACGCGAGCAAGCCATCGAAACTGAATTCGATCGAAAAGAACGTAAGTGTAATAACTGCTTTGAAAAGTCTAATATATTCCATCTTATATTATAATATAATGAGAAATTTAAATTGAACGAAATGAAATGAAAACCTTGAATTAACAAAACTTTTCTCTGTGAAATTGGCGGCACTCAGGTCTCGATGTTAACGATTCATGTAAGTAAGGAGACGTAAAAAAAATGACAAAGACAAAAGAGTTTTATAATATGTGGAATCGATACGTCGCTCTTTGTCGATATTTTGGCTTTCATTGATTTGAATTTTATCGTTTGTTTTTTTTCTTATTTTTAAATTCGGCCTATTATGTGTAAAAAGTCTTTGAAAAGCAAGATTTGATTAATTAGCCCGATACTCTCATTTTGTTCATTAAAAAGTAGAAAAATTGTTTTTAATTTAGAGGTATTTTCATTTAACGTAATGTTAAGTGTAGTGTACTATAGCTGTATCGTTTTAACTATTTCATCCAACAAACGTTTGGAGCATAAAAAAAATTCTGTGAACTTATTACATTATGTAGCTTTATAATTTGATTTTCATTTATATGCTTAAAGTTTCTTTCATCACATTACGATAACAAATAACTACGAATATTTTTACATGCACAGGGAACGTAGCTAGTATGCTTTTGCGCCGTCTGACCTCTCAAGCGAATCAAATTCGCGCTTATTTCCAAGCAACTTTGGGCCTCGAACCGAAGCAATCGGATCGTCGTGCCGATTTGGTTAGGGATAAATTTGGATTACACAAGATGATCGTTGTTGCGACCAAAGCTGGAAAGGTAAAAAAAATTTGATCGATTAACGTTTGAACTTTGATGGGCAAAAAATAATCAATAAACCGATATTTTCAGCTCTTTGGAATCGAATCACGCCGAGGAGAAGTAATCTGGCAGCAAAGAGTACCAAACTTGCGTGTACTGTCAGAAGATCCCGACCAAATGATTTTGTACTTACAACGAGGCAGTCGTCACTATCCTCATCCACCTCAGTGCGCTCTTCTAGCCGCGGATCAGGTAATTGACACATATTTCTTACGATTCGAATTCAAACATCTTTATTCAATTTTCTTTTTAATAATCCACAGAGAACCGGCAACGGAGTGATATTTACTTTCAATCCAATGAACGGACAACCGTTGAGCGGTGGTCTTCAGCACTTGGATCATCGTATCAAACAATCGATGCTTCTCCAGGACTCCATCGATGGTTTTCTTCGTGGCTTCATTGTCCTAGACGAAAAAGATCAAGTCCACGTTTATCCCAAGACAGCTGCGACCGTCGTAGCTTCTCAAGCTGGCCGCACGTTCATCTTTACCGTGGACAAAACTACCGGAGTGCTCGCCGGTCACTCGTTGGCTTACAGCAACGAGAAGAAATTTGCAGCTCACAAAGTTTGGGAAATGGTATTGCCACCGAAAACACAGAAAATAATACACGTCGCCGGCAAAAAATCGTACGAGCGAGTACACTCGCAAGGTCGAGTGCTGAGCGATCGATCCGTACTCTACAAGTATGTCAATCCGAATCTCGTCGTCGTCGTGACTCAAGGCGTCGAAGGTTCTCAAAAAAGTACGTGCTATTTTTCATTTTTTTTTTGTTTTCCTCTCATCGTATCGAATTGATTTAATTTATTGCGCTTTTTTTGTAGATACGTTGAATTTATATTTATTGGACGTGGTCTCGGGTTTGATGATATTTTCTCTGAGCCACAAACGTACCAAGGGCCCGGTACACATTGTACATTCCGAAAATTGGGTCGTCTACAGTTACTTCAACGAGAAGAGCCGCAGAACAGAACTGGCTGCTCTTGAACTTTACGAGGGAAAGATGCAAAGCAACGACACAGCTTTCTCATCGCTGAACAATTACAAGTTACCGATAGTCGAAAGACAAGCCTACATTTTCCCTGCTTCGATAGAATCTTTGCAGGAAACCATCACGGAAAAAGGCATAACTAGCAAACATATCTTAGGTATTTCATCGCATAAATGTTCATCTAAAATATATTTTTCATCAATGATAAATAATGCTGTCATGACGTTTACAGTCGCTTTGGCCAATGGCGGAGTCTTAGAGTTACCATGGATGCTGGTGGATCCTCGAAGGCCATTGAATCCAGATTATCGCGAAGAAAATGTCATTCCTTATATGCCCGAACTGCCAATTCAAATGGATAGATTTATTAATTACAATCAAAGTGTTTACCGAGTAGCGGGCATTAATACAAGTCCTAGTGGCCTTGAAAGTACCTGTCTTGTATTTGTGCATGGTCTTGGTAAGCTATTTTTAATTTTTAACTATCACACGAGAGTATTGTATTCTAATATATTAACATTTTTTTGCAGATCTTTTCTACTCGCGTGTTGCTCCTTCGAAAACGTTTGATGTGCTTAAAGAAGACTTTGATTATTACCTCATTGTGATAGTCCTCGTAGCATTATTGTGTGCTTCTTACGGGACAAAAAAATTAGCGTCACAAAAAGTTCAAAAACAAGCATGGAAATGATGTTCTGGCGTTCAGACTTGCAATCTCCTGAACTTTTGTTAACTTTTCAACCACCGTTTCACCAATTTAATAATTATATATGGCCATACTATTTACTATGACATTACTGATTGTAAACTTCAACAATTTCACACATACACGTAGCTTTTTTGCTAAATCCAAAGAACCTTGAATACAATCATGTAGAGAGTGATCGGAATTAATGACTCGCGCATCCACGTGTAAAATTATTAAGAAAATCATGAATGCTTGTTAATTCTAATCAAGTAAAATGTGTGATATAAGTAGAATTCTTTGGACATACGTGAAGTGGTAGGTGGTATAAGGTTTTAGGAATTGATATTTATAATTATTTGTTCAATAATAAATAGTAAAATTGAAGGAAAATGTCATTGTAGAATATTGATCTGTAATTTTGAACATGTTACAAATCAATATTAAAATGAATTGAACTGTCTTGTCATGAGCAGTCAATATTATTACGAAATCTAAAAATTAAATGAATTTAAACGTAGCTTGAAATTTTCTTTACAAACTCGTATGATACTGAACGTTCGTTTAATGGTTGTTAATTACTGTTTGCTGCTAGTATTTTAGTTTAACTTGTTACACAAATGCATTTAAGATTATTTTAAAACGAGTTCAAGAATGATTATTGTGTAAAAATTACACTTTGAATTGAAAATTAAATCCAATCATTTTTATTACGGGATTGCTATTGAAGTGACCCCACTATTCAAAAAGCAGTCAAATGACATATTTATATTAAAAATCCGTTAGATTGAGACAACTAATTTTAATTAGGAAATAGATTTTATTGTACAAATCAATTTCTAATAATCAGCAATGATGAAATCATTTGTATTGTTGAGCTAGTCTGTAATTTTAGTACGATGATGACTCTACAATGAATGAAATCAACTGTGCATATGATAATACGAAAGACTTGACAAAATCAACCAATGGACTCAAATTTTTTCTTTTGTACATACTACTAAATCTTCAAAATGCACAATTTACGGTTTTAAAAATAATTAACTGCTTTAAGTTGATAAGTTGTATGGAATATTATATTTATCATCGTTAAAAAAATATATAGCTTTGAAAAAATCCTCAAATTTTACTTATTGAATGATTTTTTTGCATAGAACAGATGTTCTGTCTTATTTAATTTATGTTAATTAGATGTTGTAAAAATAAATGGGACACATCTATAGTCAAAATATTTTTGTATTTTGCAGTACTAAAACGTACAAAAAAAAAAAGTAACTTACACATAATTTTTTATCCATTATAAAACATCACGTTTATCGCGGATATATTTTAAGATTTCACACACTCTCTGTTGATAGCTGCTCTTCATTTCACTCAGCATTGCGTTCTCGTACCAAACTTCGAAACTTTCATCAGGGTTTATAGACGAAATTTCTTTGTGCCAAATATCGATACATTTTGACCATACCAGATCCGCGTTGCAACACGAAATAACTTTATAACTATGGACGCAGCTTTCCTATTGAATAATATAAAACGTCAACTATATTCTTATAATAACGGTATATTAATTTTCATACCTGCAGCTGCGTGTGTTGCAAACAATCGAGATAGACTTGAATTATGCTCAAAATATCCCAGATATCTTTCTCAGCGAGGGATAAATTTTTCACTAATTTACCTAATTGCATTACAATTTGATTTTGCATTTTGAATAACTGTGTGAATTGATAACTACTACTAACATGTTTTTTTAAACTCTCTTTGGCAGAATTTTTCAGTAAGGTTGACAGTGATGGCAGTATTCCCCTTCATCGCAATAAAATGAAAATTATTATAATTAATTCATTTTTTATCAAAATTAATATGTTGACTGTGTTCCTTAAAATAAACTCACTTTAATGTTCGAGCTCGTATAAAATCTCGAGAAACTTCAGCCAGGCAAAAAAGCAATTGCCAAGCTCGATTAATTACCAATGGATTTACATTTTTGAATCGGTCAACTAATGGATGCCATATTTCGTGTACGATCGGTAATAATTCGTTCTCGTATTTTTTTAGTATTAGTGCGCCTTCGGCCAAAGTAAGCATTGCCAGTGACGATTCATCAAAATTGGAGGACGGCAAAAAATGCATACACCGCTTCATAATGCTTTTGACCATGGTGATGTAGTAAGGTAACTTTTCTTCCTCTGAAAAATGTTTTTCTTTTAATTTAATCGTTCAACTTTAAAGTAGTTACATATAAAATGAATAAAACCTTCGACAAAATTCTCAGGGGTTTCATCTTCTGCTTCCATGTCTTTGAACGAATTTTCATTAAGCTCATTATCTGCTATCAGTTTTTCAGTCAGCTTTCTTTTGTTTTCCTCTTGAGCTTTTTTGAATTCACGAAAATTTTGCTCAATGGAATTCGCTATTTCTTCTGCGCTTACGATTTTCGGTAGATTGTTATCGTTTTCGTTCGATGCAGATGTTTCCGATGCCATCAACCTCTTGACACAAATGGTAAAGGCATAAAAAACTTTGAGAAAAGATTGGGAATTTTTTTTCTGAAAATTCGAGCTAGATTGAAGCAACAAATCGTCCACGATGTCTTTGAGATGAGGAAGAAAATCCATGGTGCTATAATTGGTGACGACCTCGACTACGTCCAGCACGCCTGGATTTCGTTCGACTCGACGTAATTTCATTATCACGTGATAAGAGATGTAATCGACGTTGACTCGAAACAAATCGCCGATGCATTGTAATTTTTGCGATTTAGCCATTGTATCCAAAGTGGAGAGGCCGACGTAACGCAGTAAACTCTGATCGCTGCCTGCTCGTTCGATAACGAGATACAAAGTTTTCAATAAAAATATCTGATATTCTTCCTGTAAAATGTGAGCAATCACGCCGAGACCCTCGAGCAGCAAACTGCACTGGACCACGTTGCTCTGAGCAGCTTGCAAACTTGTTTCCTCCGAAACCTTTATCGGTAAATTCCAGTATTCGGGATCTACGTACTGTTCAACTACTTGTTTACAGATTGACTTTTGCGCAGCGGAATCTGTTGAAACTAATCAAAATTATTAATTTAGATCATTTAACATTATTTTTTCTTTTTTACCTTTTAATATGGAGTTTAGCATGAATATCAATTCCTTTCGAAATTTAGGTACTTCGTTCATCATTTTTAAGATACTATCAATGAGTGGTTTAATGTCACTGAGTTTTCCGAGAATTTCGAAAATGCCCATTAATTTATTAACTGTGCCAGAATCGAACAAAAATTTATGTTGTTTCCATGATTTCGTTAGACCTTGATACATAGTTTCATCGAAATCTGAAAATTAATTATTTTATAAGCTGTATATTTAATCTTTTTTCAGAGCTAAATGTATTGGGAAACTTACTCATAGCAGTTACATCCTCCAAAAGTGATACTTCAGAACAATCAAACTCACAAACGTATATCATTGTTAGTAGTAATTTCTTCAAATGTGCAGTTGACAATAGCATTCGCGTTAATCTTGACTTTCCAAGAACTTTTAAATAACCAGCCAATCTATTCAACCATACTAATTGAACAGAAGAGTCTGAAAAAATTAAGATATAAGTTATTACAATTTTACCTACAATATGTCATTTTAGGGAACCAATGTTTACCTGATGTTCTAATTATTCTTGGCATTTGAGTTAATAAGCTAAACAAATTTTCTTCAACCATTTCTGCTGCAGTTTTCATATTTGCATCTTGGATACATTTTTCTTGAATACTTTGCAAAGATTGAGTGGCCACATCAGAAACTTGACTGTTCTCATCTTCTGATAATGTTATCAAAATTTCTAACAATATTTGAAAACATGATTGCATATTTCTGAAAGAATAAAATTAATTTATGTTTTATAGGAAAATCCATGGAATAAAAGTCAACATACTTTGAGCAGTTTAATAATATCCTTGTAACACCTTCAGCAAGTTCTTTACGTACTTTGAAATGAGAATGTCTAGTAATTTTATCTAATTCAACGAATAATGTTTTGATTTTACAATCTATTTCAGTATACCATTCTTTAGTTTTTTGAGTTTTGTCCATAATTGTCTTTATTTTTTCAATATCTTTTTCATCTTTTACTTTAATTGATTCATTGATATCTTTAGATTTACTATCAGAATTAAAATCTTCAAGAGCGTCATCCATGACCAAGGCTATTGCTTTTGACCAAGCTCTGATAGATAACTGAAACATTTTAATTTAATATAAATCATTTACATAATGGTTTGAAACAATTTTAAATATTTTTATTACCATTGTGACTTTATGATTTTGTATATCACTACCTATAGAAACTTCTAATAAACCACTCACAACTCCTGGCAAATATAACATAATGACATTGGACACATTGTTTTTCAAAACTACATCATTTGAATCAAATTCATCGTGTATTTGTAATAAATACGTCAGAGTTTGAATTGCTTCAATCCTTATTAAATAAAAGATCTTATTAATAACAATAACATTGTGCGTGCTTTCAAATTAGTACAAAAAATGTCAATGTACCTCAAATTTGCAGATTTTTCAAGTCTTGATAATTTGACACATTGATAAATCCCATGGCTCAACAAAGCTGCATGTTGTCTGGTATAAAATTTCTCTATCAAATGAACAGAACTGTTTTTAAATAGACTTCCCATGCAAGTAACTACAGCTTCTTTTAATTCTTCATGACTCTCAATCACTGTAAACAATAGAAACATTATTAAAACGAAAAAACTCCATAATCCATTTACTTACACTCTGTAATGTTGTTTTTCAAACATATTTGGTGACGCAAAGCATAAAAAACTTCACAGAACAATTTGAAATTTTCAATCCTTATCTTGTTTATGGCAATCCTTATAGTTTTTATTAAAAATATATTGTCGTCCTTTCTGCAACGAAGAAATACAAATGTGATAGCTGCATTTAGCTGTAAATTTTTTTCATCTTACTTCAGAACATTGCTCTTTAAAGTTCGTGTCAGTGGATAAATAATTATCTCGTGGATTCTTTGTACAATTGTCGCCGGTGTTTTTTCGATCATTTCACCAATTCTCTCGGCTTTCTTCGCGCTCGGTTCGTCGTTGAACGATTCGCAAAGCGGCTTGAGATGCATAAAAACATCGACCATCGATAGTTCACTCATGATTGAATTGTTGAACACCACTTATTCTCTTGAAAATATTTACAATTCACGCGGGGACATCAACAGTTTGTTGGAGGCGTGCACCAATACACGATCAAAACATAGTAGCAGACAACTTTTAAGAAGACGTCTATACATATCAAGTCTGCAGTGAGAGATGAAGGATATTAAAATCTACCTGTTCTACCGTTGATAGATAAATATATTATTTTTTCTGGTTTTATGCATACTAAATTGGAAATAAGTATTTAAATCAAATAAGTATTAATTTTTCATGATATATTTTTATAATTTTCTTAAAAAGAGCGGGGGAGAGGGGGTTCATAATAACTCTTGAAAAGTGAATTAATCCAGATTTTTTCTATTCTTATCAAGCATCATTAGAAGTAAATTTTGGAATTTTTTCCTCCTCGTAAAATTATCTTGGGTTCGAAAAATTTTCATTAGTATGCAGATTGCATCCATGCATTTCACGCCTCGCGTTCTCAGATAATTACTCAAATTAAATTAGCTAAGATAATGCGTTTTTCTATTCAAATGAGATATAATAAGAGGTAAGTAAAGCGAAGAATACTATATTACTGGATGAAATTGCAGGTATAGAAGGGTTTTTTATTATTCAAGATTACGATACCGTTGAACAATCACGATCTAGATATGTACATATCAAAACGTAATTGACGAAATATATACTTGTAATATTTTAGCTGGCGGTTTTTTTTTTTTTGCAAAATTCATAAACATCATATTTTATGTGAATTGAGAAAAAAACAATGGAACTTTATGACAGTCGATACTTCGTTATAAACAAAAAGTTGCAAAAATTGATCGGCGTGTGGCCCTTCGAGAGTCGAACGAGAAAAAATTTTTGCCGGACTTTCGGATTCATTTTCATGTTCATTGGAGTCATTCCGCAGGTAACATTTTTTGACGGTCGATGAATGCAAAAACCATTACATTTGATTAAAAACAGGTGATCGCCTTGGACGTTGCGCGAAGAAATAAGGACTTTGATAAAATCACGCAAAGTTTCGCAACATTTTTATTCGTACTGGCGATCTATTCCAAACTCGTGACATCGATAATGAAGGAAGAACAGGTAGAGGCTCATTATTATGAATTTTTTTCACCTAATTCTTAAAATTTTTAGATGATTAAGTTGTACGAAGAAATCGTTAATAATTGGAATCAAATGAAGGAAAAGGACGATAAAAAAGAGATGATTAAACACGCGGAGATCGGAAGATTCATGACTATATGTTACGCTGGTATGAAAGTTGCCCCATTTTTTACTTACAACTACGATACACAAATCAAAATAAATTTTTCCCAAGCATACGTATTCAACGCTCTGATCGGTTTCATAACTTTCCCACTGCTGCCGTCGATAATGGACAAAATTTCGCCCCTGGCCAACGGCTCGCGGCCGAGAATCTACGTACTCGAGGGTCAGTATATGGTCGACCGAGAACAATACTTCGGCATAATATACATTCTCGAGGCTGGAGTCTGCATAATGATGGTGGTCATCTTCTGTACCTGCGACACGGCCTTTTGCGTCTGCGTCGAGCAAAGCGTCGGACTGATGTCCGTCGTTAAGTAAAAAAAAGAAAATAACTTTAAACAATTTTATCGTCAGTTTTCTTAATCGAATGACAACTGTTTTGGTGCGATTTTAGAATGCGTTTGAAGAAAGCGACGAAATATGGCAGTCAATGGGAAAAAACCGATCCCAATAATACTCCTTACGCGTTGGTGAAAAAATTGATCGTCTTTCATCAAAAAGTCTTGACGTTGAGTATTTTCAATTTTCCAACTAACACAGAACTGATTTTTATGAATTTTTTTTTGCAGTTCTGTCGAAATCGTCGAATCGGCCTATTCCTTTTATCTCTTTGCCTTGATGGGCTTCAACGTGTTCATTTTAAGCTGCGGGAGTCTCGTGGTAACGTATTCGCGTGGTTTCACGATGGATATTCAAAAAAAACACACATCAATGAATAAATGAAACATCTCAATTTCAGATAGTGGCCAACTTGGATAATCCCATGGAGACTCTGAGATACGGCATGATTTTTATCGGACTCATGATACACATGTTCTTTTTGAATTTACCCGGACAGAGACTCTTGGATGCCAGCAGTGATTTACATTGCAACGCGTGAGTTTATGTATAATAATTCGAGTTCTAACAATTTTTTTGCGTTCGTTGGAATATTTTAGGTACGACAACGAGTGGTACGAATGTTCGGAACAGACCAAACAGCTTTTGTTGTTCATCATGTTGAAATGTAAGACCCCGTGTATCATAACAGCTGGAAAAATCGTTATAATGAATATACAAAACTTCGGAATCGTAATGAATTTTAATTAGCTCGAATTCTTATAAACAAAAACTCTCTCTGATGGATGATTTTTCAAACGTTACAGTTGGCTAAATCTGCGGCATCTTATTTTACAGTATTTGCTTCATTCAGATAATCGAAGTAGTATCATTCAAAATACTTGTAGAAAAAAAGTTGAATTTATTCAGAATAAAAAAGCTCTTTTAAAAATTTCTTATTTAATCATTCAATCGAACGTATCTTTCTGCCGATTTCAAATTGAATCGAGCTTGCGGAGCTGCCGCAGGTGTCGCACCCGTCGCAGGACCATATGATCTCCGTAGTAAATATTGTCTGCTGACGGCTAGAGAAATATTTATTAGTAAATAGTAGTTATCCGACGTATACTATCATTGATCGCCATCGTATGGCTCAGTTTTATCAATTAAACATAGAAATTGTAACTACGTGACACTAAAGCGACAAAACATAAAAGAAGAATTTCTGTTTTCTATTTTTTATGACAGTGAGCTACAGAACGAATGAATTAATGTGACGTTTGGCCTTCTCGCTGTTGTCAATTTTGACTTTCCATTTACGCATTACAAGTTTCCTTTCAATCGATCCATCTTAAAACAGTCCTAACAGATATATTATTTTATATAATACAAAAAATCAATATTTTGCTTGAATAGTTCAAGTTCAATCATTCAATTGCACCTTAGTTGCCTGTAAAAGCAAAAAAATGTCACCAGAACCAGTTCAAGAACCAACAGATACTTTGAACACATCCAACATCAGCGATGCAGCAATAATTACTAATGAATCTGATAGCGATGAAGAAGAAGTTGGTGCAGCTGGATATGAGCCATTACCTCAAGCTCCTGTCGAAGGAGAACAGTCTGAAGACGAAGATGAAGATGATGAGGTTAATTTCTAAAATTATTCAATAATAATACTTATTTTGCTTCATAGTTTTCATATTATTTAACTAAACTTTTTCCAAAAGTACAAGAATGAATTTATTCAACATTTTACACAATTTAATATTTTATGAAATACTATTAAATTATCATGATAACTACATTACTTAACATTGCTTAATGTATGCAAATTTTTTCCCAGGAAATTGAATTTGGAATTACACACATGGGGGGTGAACCTGATCAACTTCAGGATGCACCAGAATCTTCTGTCCCACCAGAAACATTAGAAGTTTGGTCATCATCGTCGTCGAATGTCATTGAGTTGGATGAAAACAAAATTAATCAAGTGAAATCAGCGATGGCTTCTTTCACGTTGCCCAGTACGGCTATACCGGAATGGGCCAGTTCTGTTTCTGAAGACCAATGGAAAGATCAGCTCATTCAAAGATTGAAAAAATTGAAAAAAGATGAGATTTAGTACGTTGATTTGTGTTAACTGGTTAATTTTTAAAATCTATTGAAGTGAGCAGTATTTTCATCATGCCTAGGCATTAAAGATAATGAAATTATTTTGTCAAAATAAGGGCATGCTGATGGCATGTGTCAATTATCAAATAATATGAGTCTCTCCAAAATAATTTGAATGACAATTAATAAGTACCAAAAATTAATTGTTTGAGCATTTGTTATTAAATAAGAGAGCTGCAAAAGAGCAATGTACATAATTAGTTTGGAGTTAAGTTTATAAAAATTTTAAATTTAAGAATTAAAACACTTTAAAATGTATAACATAATCAATTTGTTTTTTAAATTCCCAAACTGAAAGTTGCACCTGGCAAAAATGACACATGACAAATAAAAAAATCAACGAATGAAACTTCAGCAATTGAATTCCGCTTTTATTTCCTTGGCTTTCGTCGGGTTGAGTTTCATTCGAAGAGTCGCTATGTCGTCGTCGATTCTCACGAGTTTTCGGAATTTCTGCAACGATAGATGCTCAATTATTGAAAATACTTGTATGCACGCGAAAAAACGTAATTACCTCGGACATCGTTCCAGGCGTGACACACCAGATGTAGATCATGTAGGCCGGAATGCAGAGCATTGACGAGAGACCGCTCATCCATCCGAGCACGTGACACCACCACGGATACTCGTAGTTGAGGTACTTGACGGGGACGAATTTAACGATGTTGAAAATAAAGACACCCTGAAAAATAAATTTGAATTCATGCAAACTTTTCATCGAAATCGAGACATCGAGAAAATCGGCAGAAAAAAAATCAGATATATAATTACAATGCAGATAGCCGGGGTCGTCACCGTCCAACAGATCTTCCACCAGAAGCAGGGATAGTAGCCGATCATGTCGCGTATGCCGTCGTAAAAGCGGTTGACGCCGAAAGCCCAGGCCACGGAGATGCACTCGAAAAACATGAGAAACAGCAGGACGAATCCGCTCACCGAGTACGAATCGAGCAGTTGAAAAACGTACATGCCGCCCTGTGTGTATATTATGAGCGAGTGGCGATGAAAAAATTATTAATTTTCTTTTTTTTTTAAATCGAGTCACGAATCACGTAGGTATACCTCCGTGACACAGGCGAGACCGACGAAGTACGAAATTACGCAGACGATGGCTATGAAGACTTCCTTGCGTTTTCTGAGCAAGTGCGGCCACTCGTCCACCGCAGCCGTGATGAAACCCTCCACGGTGCAGAACTGCAAAAAGGACAAAAAAAAACCGATAAATGATGATACAAAACTATGATTCTATTGCGATGTTTACTTGGCTATCGAGACCGATCAGAAGTAGCATGAAGAAAAACAGACAGGACCACATGGGTGCTCCGGGCATTTGCAAAACAGCCGATGGATAGACCAAAAATGCTAGACCAGGTCCTGAAAAATTGATATAAAAAAATAATTATTTTGAGTCGCAATGCTCCAATGTCTGAATTATTCATCGTACGAACCCGAAGCCGCTACATCGGCCACGGATTTCTGCTGCTCATGGGCCATGAAACCCACGACCGAAAATATCACCACCCCACTGAGTATGCTCGTGCACGAATTTATCGAGCAAACGATCAGAGCGTCCCTTCGAGCAATAATTTTAACATGATTGTTTTCATACTTGTAAAAGATAATTGCATAGATGCTACGCGTTGAAAGCTTACTTGTACACGTTGTTGTTGAATTTATTGTAACTGCCTAGAGCCACCAGGGCACCGAGGCCCAGTGCGTACGAGAAAAATATCTGCGTCACCGCGTCGATCCAGACCTACTCGGGAAAAACAAAAAGTCGAGCGTATAAAAAAAATATAATTGTAATTTTTACCTCTGGCTCGCCCAACTTTGACAGATTCGGCGTGGCGTAGTACTTGAGACCCTCCATGGCACCGGGCAGCGTCAGTCCGCGCACGAGTAGAATGAAAAGAAGAAAGTATGGAAAAAGAGCCGTGAAGTAAACGACCTAGATACGAAGGCAGAGAGAGGTAAAAAAAAAGGATTATCCAATATTGTGTGTGAGTGTACGGGGTCGTACTTTGCCGGTCCACTTGACTCCCTTCCAGATGCAAAAGTAGCAGAGGATCCAGACCACAGCCAGGGTGCCAGCCAGCTCCCACCTGATGCCGCCCACCTCCTCGACGCCCTTGGATATCTGCAGAGTTCGCTGTCTGTTGTATGAACGAGACGCGAGACAAAAGTAGTCGCGAATATAAATGTTTTCAATTTTCATTATGTATATTATACAGATATCAGCGCGTCTTACTCCCAAAATTCTTTGACCGGATCTCGCAGCAAGACGTTGCTGTAGTTGCCGACCAGGGTCTTGCATATGGTCTGATTGTGATGGCTCCAGCAGGGTGTCTTCAGCAGCTCATCGGGCGTCACGCAGTACTTGCTGTTCCAGCTGTTGCCACAGGTTCTCCAGGGTACGTCTTGCGGCGAAAAACAAAAAGGCTCGATATTTAATCCGACGATTTTTATATTTAATTGACATAAATGCAGACGTAGTTATACCTGTGCCGATAGAGACTAGAAAGTAGAAGAGGGCCCAGGCCAAAATGATAATGTAGTAGATGTTTGTCCAGCACGACAAGACGCACGTCGCGTAACCGATCCCTAAAAACGAAGAAAACATTTTCACAAACCGATCGTTTTCGCATTTCAATAAAAACCAACCTTTGAACAGGGGAGCGATCTTGAACACTCCCAGACCACCGATGGTCATCATCTGTCCCAGCGACAGCTCCATCAAAAACATCGGTATTCCAGCCAATACCAGGGCGATGAAGTACGGCACCAGAAAGGCGCCGCCGCCGTTCTTGTAGCACAGGTAGGGGAATCGCCAGAGATTGCCCAAGCCGATGGCCAATCCGACCACCGACAGGATGAACTCGATCTTGCTGCCCCAGGATCCTCGCTCCGACGCGTTGTCCTCGAGATTCTCGGGTGAATCGGCGCGTATCGACGGCACGACGATGCCGCTCGCGAAGACATCGAGCTCCCGTTTCGGTGGCGCCGCAGCGACGTTACCGGAGGACTTGTTGCGCGGCATCGGACTCGTCGAGCGATCGATCCTCTGCTGTTGCTGCTGTACCTTACTCTCGATCGACGGCATGTTTTTTCAACGATTTCGGGGAAAGGCTTCGATCGATATATAATTACCGGTATACAAGAAGAAACGATGATTCGGTTACTCTATTTACTTCCGGAAATCATCCAGAGTCGAAGCAACGAAATATCCAATATCCCGAGACACACGTCCTCTTCGCACTGTGTTAACATACACACACACAAGCACACACGGTGGTAACCCCGATACGACGGTGACACGATTCGCACTTGGAACAACACGCGGCAAAAGACAGCAGCAGCATCGGTGCGAGCGCAGCTATAAACTACACGGCATAAAATACGAGAAGGGACTGCTGCAGGTACTTATCTCTCTCTCCTATATGCGTTATACGCGTGCATAGTAAAGCCGAGCGAGTCTATCGGTGCGTAATAGGTAGAAACGCGTTGATTGGGTACTTTGCGGTACAGTATACGCAGACACGTTCGAATCTGCTGCTGTGACGGCGACGACGAGAGAGAGAGACAATGAATGTGCTCCGATATACAAAGAGGCAAATAAAAAGAGGGACAACTTTGCGACGTTCAACGAGGCCACCACGTGCGCCCGAATGAGATTTTAGGATTGAATTTCCGAAAATTGCGATGCAAGCAATTATTCAAGTAAATTTTTGCAAAGAATGATGCCATTAAAATCGAAATATCCGCTTATACCAATGATCGATCGGTTCAACGTCGAACGATATCCTGCCACGCGTACCGATAATTTTGCGCTTCGAGAGTATGTGTATCGCATCGATCGCTTCGTAACTTCAATCGAGGATCGGCAGCGATGAATAAAGTCTTGATTCGTATAAACTAATCTGTGACACACTTTTCGAGATGCGAGCGAGAGCTGCTCGAGACGCGTACACGAGATTAATTCAATTATTAATCGTTCGGAAAATTGAGCCATCGATAATTATAGCTGGGCCTAGCTAGTCTGTATGAGCGAAAATGTCCCAAAATCCTGTAAATTTCGCCCTTATTATTCTGTAAACTTTACTTTTCTTTAATGGGAGCGTGTAATTCGGCGTGTTCGCCACCTAGTGGTCACCCAACAACTATCTTATATGTTTACTTTGTATTATTTGTAGGGAAGCTTGCTGGCGTCCCAGGGGTCGATATTTCAACGATCAACAATGTGTATTGCACGAGACCTTTTTTGTTAGATCATTGCGTAGTTTTTTAAAGGTACTGGTTTTAAGAGTAATATTTTGTTACGCAGCATTAATTACTGAGAGTGCACATTTTTGGTTTTAAATTTTATCGAAAACATTTTTACTTTACTAACAATGCAAAATAATCAAAATGAAATACAAAACAAATTGTTTGATTGATAGTTATATTACAACTTCGAACAAATAAATGATTTCCATGTTCACAGAAGTAACCAGTGTTTATCTATGTATGCCTACATTTGCAGCAGAGTAATCACACGATGAAAAATCGACCCATATATTTTTTTTAACATTCATTTATTAAACTTTGAATTCACTCAGTACAGCGTTGACTTCACATTTTTTAGTCAATCGATAGAATTTTTGGAATGGTATTTATTAGTTTTAACCTGATGTATATTTTTTTAACTAATATTAATTATTCAAAGTTACCATCTTCAAAAATGAAGGATGCATTTATGTACGAGAAATGTTAATACATCATTCAGCGATAAAACTTAGACAATTATGAGCAGCTCTGCAAAAATCGTTTTCTCATGTCCATAAAAAATTGTTATCTTACTTTTTAGCAGTCTTCGAGCATATCACTTAAATTTTTCAACGAAGGAACTCGACAAACTCAATAATGCTTCATAATTCTATTATTCCTTTTTTTCAACAATTAATTATTTTATAAGTCGTCAAAAAATGTCAATTCGCTTGATAGACACTTTGTTACGATTAAATTGTGTACTAACAATCTAACATACGTTGTACACGTTTTCAACGCAATATTATGGTACTGCCGAAAAAAAATAGATAAGTCTCATAGTACGTGCTCCGTCATGACTGACGGATTTTAATAAAATTCAAGGAATTATTATTTGGTGTCAGATTAAATAAAACAAATATTAATTAACTGGTCCAAATTTGAAAGGACAATGTAATAACCACATAAATCGGTAATTCAATTATAAACAAAATGATAATAAATGATAGGGACATTGCCCCTCGAGCACTGATTGTGTCTATAGTAAAACAAATTAGTTTGAATGTTGTCTTTCCCGATGATACAAACCACAATACCAACAGATAAGTTTTACTCATTCAACTTCCGGGACACTAAAAATAAGGTTTATTTTAAGCAGTAAAATGGATATAAGTGAGAAGAAATCCGAAAAATTTGGCTCGGAAAATAATTCAAGTGAAAGGTGCGCTAAGAGATTCGGAAATAAGCATAGTTTGCTCTTACATATTAAAAAAGTCCATGAGGATTGCGAAGATTTCTCATGCGACATGTGCAGGGAAAAGTTTAAAAAAAAATCGCATTTGCTATTCCACCTAAAGACAGTACACGACGTCTCCAAAGATTACCAATGTGACCATTGCAGGAAGAAATTTGCATATAGAAGGAATGTCCTCTTGCACATAACAACAGTTCACGAAGGCCGGAAAGATTACGCATGCGAAAAGTGCGAGAAAAAATTTGGGCACAAATGGTTATTACTTGTACACCACAGAACAGTCCATGAATGTCGAAAAGATTATGCATATAACAAGTGCGAAAAGAAATTTACACAAAAAATTCATTTACTTATCCACCAAAACACAATCCATGAAGGTCGCAAAGATTACATATGCGAGAAGTGCGAGAAAAAATTCGGACAAAAATCGACTTTACGTTTGCACCAAAGGACAGTCCAGGAGGGTCGCAAAGATTACCCATGTGACAAATGCGAAAAGGTTTTTGGACAAAAATCGGATTTTTTCAGGCACCAAAAAAGTGTACACGAAGGCCGCAAGGACTTCGCATGCGACAAGTGCAAGAAAACATTTGGGCTTAAGCGAAATTTACTTGTGCACCAAAGAACGGTACACGAAGATCATAAAGATTTTGAATGCGACAAGTGCGAGAAAAAATTTGGACGACGAAGTGCTTTGATCAAACACCAAAGAGAAGTTCACGAAGGTCACAAAGATTACGCTTGCAGCGAGTGCGGAAAGAAATTTGGCCAAAAATCGGATGTTTTCAGGCACCAAAAAAGTGTACATGAAGGTCGCAAAGATTTCGCATGTGACAGATGTGAGAAGATGTTTGGACTAAAATCGAATTTGCTCTTCCATCAAAAAACAGTACACGAAGGTCATAAGAATTTTGAATGCGACAAGTGCAAGAAGCTGTTTGGACAAAAATCGTATTTGCTCATTCACCAACGGACAGTGCACGAGGGTCGCAAAGATTTCGCATGTGACAGGTGTGAAAAGACATTTGTGACCCGAGGCGTTTTGACTAGGCACCAAAACAACTGTCCATGGAAATCGATAAAATTACTCATGCAATAAATGCGAGAAGAAATTTGGGGCACAAAGTAATTTGATCAAACACCAAAAGATGGTGCACGAAGGTCGGAAAGATTACGCATGCGACAAGTACAAGAGGTATCGGAAATTTGACAAGAATCGAATTTGCGCTCCCACCGAAAAATAGTTCGTAAATTACGCAATGATTTTCACAAATGTTTTATTGGAGCTAATTTTATTTACACAATCAGACAATCAAACTGTATAATTATATAACTGCATATTCATTTTGAGAAAATTGTTGGTTTTCTATCAACTCCTTCAAAATCTTTCAAAAGCTTCCTTATAACAATCTGAAATATGCACAATTGCATGATGATTTTACGAGTAATTAATTATTTTAACAAATTTTTCCAGCTCATTGCTGTCACGTGCTCCGAATAGTTCCTGAGAACATACCTGATAATTTTTTTTTTGACAATTTTAATGAATGTATAGAAACTAGTGTGTATTTTTTCAAGTACGCATTTTTTAAAAATTTAAATAAAAATTGTGACAATATGATCGTGTTTTATTTGAACTTTGTATCTATCTACTATTATTAAAACTTTGTTCACAGTCGTGGTTGGCGCTTTATTTTAATAACCAGACGACTGCCAATTATTACTCTTATTTTTTGGCTCATGCAACCATCAGCCCAGAATTTTTTTCACGTTTTGTTTGAAATTGTAAACGGGCCAAGAAGTTAGTTGGCTACTGCATTTTTGTTACGTGTATAACTTTGCAGACAAACCCAGGATGATTTTTGACAAGAGAGTTATGATTGGTTGTAAACATAATTATTCTACTGAAAACCCCAACGTTAAAACCATTCAATTATTTGATTCAAATCAATAAGTATTTTCTAAATTCTTTATAATTATCAGAGGTCTACTGATCGATATACTGCGGAATTCGCTTATTGTGGCCACGACCGGTTGAAGGGTTTTGGTCACATTAAGTGACTGGACATGATATAGGACGGAAAAAAGTATTCATAAATAGTACATAAAAATAATTTTGGTATTTTTAACCGAATTAATCGTTAATTTTTTTCAACACAATACTTTTTCAACATCTTTATCTACGTCTTTTTCTTTTCAAGAGTTGATCGCCGGATATCAAGTTTCACAGCCGCTTGAAATTGACTTGGTGATGAAAATCCACTAACGCAACATTTCAAAAAATTAAGATCTAGGATCGACGTGCTAGTGCTGAAAGATGCCGATTCGCAGATCACAGCAGAATGATGCTATTTTGCGCTCCGGGTAGAAAGATGCCATGTCGCGCTTCGAGCTGAAAGATGACACATCAGTGCTCAGTATTTCTATATTTGAAGCTTCAACTTTAAGTATTATCTTCATTCAAACGACAGATTCTGGAAGAGCATCCAATTTTACTTCTAAAACATGAAACATTAATATGGTGTCACTTCAAACGCAGAAAAAACCACCCTTCAGAATCAAACGCCGAAGTGGCATACAAGCCACATTAGAGCTTAGAATCTCGACAGATTGATAGGTAAGAAAATTATTAAATTTAATGTTTTTTTTTAAATTAATTTTTTATTTGAACATCATGATAATCTAGATAATTAAATAACATGATATATTAAAAATGATCACAAATATGTTTCTTCATGAGCTTCGGCCTGCAGCCGCCCTGCAAATATTATATAAATCTTGGTTATTCAGGTTCTCGATGATCATGTCGCAGCAGAGAACCGGCAATCGGTAGTGTACCAGCTCCATGAAACATTCCAGGGCCCAGCCCAGGAAAAATCGCCTGGATAGTTTCTCGCACAAATGCACGAAGCAAGCCTCCTCGTGCTCTTTGGTAAATTTGCCCCATTTCATCGAGCACGCAAACTTGAAGTAATCCGCGGGTGCGACTCGTTTTGCAGCCTTTGTGGGTGACAGCTGTATTAGATCGTAGAGTGAAAGGCTCGGCATTACCATCGTCTCTTTCGATTTGTCGGCAAACTTCTCGTCGTCGTACCAATATTTTTCAAGACTCGTCGACTGCTCGTATAAACCGAAATCAGCGAATAATTTCATGATCTTCAGGGCTATGGTTTGGTCCATCTCGTATCCATGTTTATCTAAGCACTCGAGAACGACCAGAATGCCAGATGCTATTCTCAATTTAACATTATTTTCGTTATATTTTTCCGGATTGAATCTCTGGCGAAAATCATCCACGGTGGGGGGGAAGACACTAGGCAGAGCAGCGCCGTTAGCCAATAGCGCATCGATCGCATCGGGCAGGAGACTCGTCAGAGCCAGTTGCAGCGGTGTCCGACCCAACTCGTCCAGGGCATCGACTTGCACCACCCAATCGAATTGTTTGTTGATCTCGAAGTATATCTTCGCGAAGCCGTCGTCTTGGTCTCTCATGCAAATGACGTGGAGCGGAGTCGATCCCTCTGCATTCACCAAATTTGGATCCGAGCCTCTCCTCAGCAGTAATTCTACCAAGTTTCTGTGGCCCCGAGACAGAGCCAAATGCAGCGGCGTGTTGCCCAAATTATCTTGAACATTGACCAGCACCCGCTGACCGACTTCGTCATTGACAGTGAAAAATCTTTCCGAAAAATCGTCGTCGTGGTCTCCCTTGCAAATGAGGTGCAGAGGCGTCATTCCATCATTATTGACCAAGTTCGGGTCGCCGCCCCTTCTCAGCAGCAATTCCGTCGAGTTTCTGTTGCCGCAATACACAGCCACGTGCAACGGCGTGTAACCATCATTGTCCCGGGCGTTTATGTCCACCACCTGATTCCTGCCGTCGATAATTTCGAAGAACAGCTCCACCCAATGACCGTCGTAGTAGCAAATGTGATTCAAAGGCGTGCCTAAGTTCGGGTTGGCGCCTCGTCTCAGCAGCACCTCGGCCGAGTAGATGTTACCGATATCCAGAGCCCAGTCCAACGGCGTCTGGCCGTTATTGTCGAGGGCGTCGATCAGCACCGGCTGACCGAGTTCGTCGTTGATTCCGAGGAATAGATTCAGCAAGGTCGGATCTTCGTACTTCTTGCAAAGGAGGTGCAACGGTGTCATTCCCTTATTGTTGGTTGCATTGTAATCGGCACCGTGTCTCAGCAGCACTTCGATCAAATTCGAGTTTCCTCTCTTCACCGCCAGGTGCAGCGGTGTGTTGCCTTTGTTGTTACGGGCGTTAATCTGCAACGGCTTGTAGTCGTCGTTACCGAATATCATGTCCGCCAAGTCATTACCGTTGCGTTCGTTTACGTTGCACAGGTGATGCAGAGCATTGTTTCCATCGTCGCCGTCGGCCAAGTTCGGATCGGCGCCCATTTCCAGCAAAAATCGCGCCACTTCCGTGTAATCGTTGTTCAGCGCAATTTGCAGCGGTGTATTTTTGAACTCGTCGAGATGATCGACCTGCACCCGATATTTTTCGTCGCTGAGCTCGAACAACATCTTCGCCAAGTCGACATCGCCGTGATTCTCGCAAATGACATTCAGAGGCGTCATTCCACATCCGTCGAGCGAGTTCGGATCGGCGCCTGCTCTCAGCAGCAATTCGGCCAACTCTCTGTTTCGGCGCTGCATGGCCAAGTGCAGTGGCGGCGGGCGTTTCTCTCTTGGCCAAATGAGATTGGGATCTTGACCGAGCTCGAGGAATTTCTTCACCACGTCTGTACGGCCGAACCAGCAGGCCACGTGGAAATGCGACAATCCAGATCTGTCGGTGTAATTCACGTGGATTCCGTCGTAAATGTCGAAAAGCGAATCTGCCACGACAGGCCAATTGGAACGAAACATGAAATCGTCGCGTTGACACAAGTGATGCAATGGCGTCGTGCATCTCGACGATTGCTTGCCGCTTTTACTTTTGGGCTTGACCTTATAGCCGCTACGAGCCACGAATTCGATGAATGATTTTGCCTCGTCGTATTTCATACTTTTCGCGGCCTCCGTGAGAAGCCAATCAATCTCTTTCGCTGGAAAAATATCCAGAAGATTAGGAAGTCGACCCTGCCAGTTACTGATCAAGGGACGAAGTTTGTCAAGAAATTTCTTTTTATTTTTTCTTTTGACCTTTTTACGTATACTCCTCAATTTCTTCCAACTTTCTTGGTCGTCCTGGGCCATTGTTCAACACACTAACACACATACAATCACAATCACTTATAATTCAAGATGTATTTTATAACCTCTTTAACGAAAAATTACTCGATGCAATCTGTTCGATCTGTTCACGCTGCAGTGCCGTCACGCATTCCGTAAAGTACTAATGACTACACACGAATGAAGTATGAACACGTTTTCAGAGAGAGCTGTTGGTGAAGCGGACTTGCTATATGTAGTCACCCGAATACGATATGGACACGCCCATGTGCGCGCTAGAGAGACAGAGACAGACATACATGACGCTGCAAAGACGCGTCGCGATAGAGATACTTTCACCGATTATGGAATGGTTTGAGGCAACTTTATTTTAAACACATGGTATGTTTCAAACGCGCTTCGCGCGCGTCCATTTTTTCATTCGTGTTTTGAGGTTACTTAAGTACTAACTGTCTGTAGACAGTTAGCAGCGCAAGCGCTCGTATCGAGTCGGCCCGCATCGAGCGTCGTCGTCACTGTCAGACAATCAGAGATCGTTTTACAAGGCTTCACTTTTCGGCTGTTCTCTTTTTTATACAGTAAGTAACTTTCAGGCACGCTTCGCGGGCGTACATTTTTCAGATAGTTTCGAAAAAGTAGCTATTTTGACCGTAGATGTCACTTTATCATGTTCCGACGGGAGTCACAAGTCAGTCGACCAATTAGAAGCCGAATAGATTGGCTTCACTTTTAGGGTCATCATTATTTTAAGAGAGGAAATAGAAATAATAATAATATAATAAAAAGTAAAAAGTAACGTAAAAACAAAATGTCAGGAAAGATTAAATCTTTTATTTTATTGTATTTTTACTTACGTCATCGATTCTTCTTACGAGAATCACAACAATCGGTATTTGTGCCACCTACCGGTGACACGGCTAACTACTTTTTGCGTGCAATATTTATCCTCTCTTTTGAAGGCGTGACCGGCGCGGTGTACAATTTTATTACGAACTAGGGATGTGCGATTCCACTAAGAATCGAATCGATTCTTCACAGCCGATTCCTGAGAGAATCTTTTTTCAAGAATCGATTATTTTAAAAAAGAATCGAAGAATCGATTCCGATTCTCAATTTTTTTTAAGGGAAGATAAATGAGCAAATATTATTCAAATTATCAATAAGTAAATTAGATTGGTTTATTTAAATTAATTGAATTGCAAAAACTATTGAAAATAGTATTCAAAACTTTTGATCAATTTGAAATTTTTTTAAATCACATAATTCCAATCATCGGTAATTCTTTGTAAAAATAAGAACATATATTCAAATAGTTTCTTGTCACTCAATTGCTACGAAGAGGCATTTCAATTTAAATTAACTTATAAACATGCTATACTCTTCGTTAGGAGCGTCGAATTATCCCTTTTTATAAGGTCTAGAATTGAAAGTATAAGCTGATAAGTTTTCAAAGAACTAATTTGCTCATTACTGGAATGACTGAGCACTATTCTTCCAAAATTTATAAATGTTTTGATTGCGAGGAATTATTAGAAATTTTAAGTATCTGTCAAACGTATTGACCCATTAGTTGAATATTAACTAAACAAAATACTCTCGCATAACGGAAAAAATGGATAAATTGAAGTCGGAATCGATTCTCTGTAATATAAGAATCTAGAATCGGAATCGAAGCCATTGTCAAGAATCGGAAAAAGAATCGATTCTTGCACGCAAGAATCGAATCGATTTTTAGGAATCGAGTAGAATCGCACATCCCTATTACGAACTGCTTGATTCTAGATTTTCGAACTTATACTACTTGACAAAATAATTTTACTTACTTTCACTTTCTCTTCTGGGCTAATAAAATCAATTTCCACTGAAAAAAATTATGCCCCAGCGAGCATACCCATAGCTCGTGCTACTTTACTTGTATTATGTTTTATAGTTTCGTAACTTCGTACACGAAAAGAAAATCTCCTATTGGCCGCTTTCTCATGTTGATTCTCATAAGAAAAAATTTATGTCGAGCGGCCGACGCTGGCATTTTTTCAGGACGCGTCTTGTTTTTCCATAAGATTACGTGTAAATGGTGACTGCAGCGCCACTTTAAGCTCCGCCCAAACGCTCAGAGCGAAATGCGAATAGCTTTGACCATGTGTTTTTTAGTTTCTCTTTATAGATCGTAGCATATCCATGGTCAGTACACGTTACGACGCCGCAGTGTGAACATCGAGTAAATATCGTTTGTGTTAGTGCAGTATTGAACGACGGCCCAAGACGACGAAAACTATTTCGACAAATTGAAGAGTATGCGTGAACAGGTCAATTGGGAGATTGAATATGACAGACACGAATTTCTCCGGCAACTTTATCCCTTAGTCAAAGATTGTGAAGATCAATGTCCTGATCTACGACACATTTTTCGAGTCGAAGAAATCGAGTGTCTTCTCATAGATTCAATCAATTTCATGCAAAGAGATAGTGAAAATACATACAATAATGTAGGAGAAGTATTCATTAAATTTGTAGCTCGAAGTGGCTACAGAGATGAGCCTAAAGTCGATAAAGACGGCAAGACATCGCCACGTCGCACTACACCAATACATTATCTAGCTAAACGCCAGCTTTGTAAATGGAATAACCAGGGGGCGAGTGAACTTTTCAACATATACCACAGGTTCGATGTGGATTAAACCGACGAATCTGGCTTAACGCATTTCCACGCGGCCTGCGTGCTGGCTACGTAGAAATCGTCGAGAAATTCCTCGATCAGGGCCAAGACCCCAATTGCGTAATGGAAAAAACAGGCGACACGCCGCTGCTCTTGGCTACGTGGCACCACCACAAGAACGTGGCAGTATTGCTACTGAAAAGAGGCGGGATCCAAATCTCGCCAACGTGGAGGGATCGACTCCTCTGCATAGGATTAGCAGCAGATGGTCAAGAGTCGACCTTGATGATTTGAAAAAGATGTTATTCGAGCTTGACAATGTCGAACATCGGCCATTGCAGGTCGACGCTCGAAACGGAATCGGTAACACGCCATTACACTTGGCTCTGAAGTTCGGCAACAAGCAGGTGGCTGTACAGCTGCTGCGAGGAGGCGCCGACCCGAATTCACCCAACGTCAAGGGATGGACTCCCCTGCACCTTATTTGTCGGACGTTCTGGAACGAAGGCTTTCCCAAGATATTCTTCCAGATCTGCGACGAAAGTAATCAGATCCTACAGGTCGACGCGAAGGACAGGGAGGGTCGGACACCGCTGCAATGGGCCGTGGCGCAGTTCATGCTGAATGCGGTCGACATTCTCTTGGATCGTGGCGCTGATCTTACTAATTTCGTTTTTCCCGATTCGAGTTATTTTGGCGACGACATGAGTGATCTTTTGTACTTGGAACATCACAATATTAAATTGAGAAAAGCGTCTAGCGCTCTGGCCGTTGTCGAACGCCTCGTGAAAAGAGGATACGAACTCGACCTAGCCGCAGCCTTGACGATCATGAGACATTTCGCAGAAAACAGTTTGCTGGAGGGGCCGGCGAGTTTGAAAAAACGTTGGTACGATGAAGAGGAGTTTTCGAGCAGAGCAAAAGAAGAAATGGTAGTTCCAGGCCTGTCGCTCCACGAACTGATTCAGCTTCGACCCGAAGAGGCGGAAAAACGATTAACATACAACGACTACTTCGAGTTTGCGCGCTTGACGAGATTTTTCAAGTTCTCCAAGAAAGACAGTGACACTTCTTGTGCTCTGCATCTGTGCGAGAAACTATCGAGAGGTTTTTTTCGACGATGGGCAGTGTATCCTTTCTGGGAATTGATACACCAACGACTGCCACTTGAGTGCTGTGAAATAATCCTCGAGAATCTAAATAACGAAGATTTATATCGCATTTGTCTGGCGGCTGCAGACAAAAAGTAGCTATGACAATTATGGCACTTTTTTGATGTTGTAAATTTTCTATATTAATAAAATAAATAAATCTAAAAAAATGATTCTTGATTATTTTTTTTACACGATAAATACACAAAATTCATTAATGTAAAATATTTTAAGTTATGTGTTTACTATCTCATAAATACCGACGTCGTCTTTACAGATATCAAAAAAAGTATAATAATTATTCGATAGTACAATCAAAAAATTTTGAATACTTTAAAAAAACTATACATTTTGATACTAATTATCCGGATTAAATCCAAACTTGACAAAATGGGGATGGAATGGATGGCGCGAGCGTGCAAAAATATTAAACGCATAAAAAATATCAATTTGACAATTTAACGTCACCATTGTTCGCTTATGTAAGTACACATTATATCAGATTAGATTAACGTTTATTTTGGCCAAGTTTCAACGAAACAGTTTGGCTTGCATGAATTAACATATATTTTATCTGTTTCTCAAACAGCTTCACATAGGATGGATGAAACATCATAACAATATTGACATGAAGTAGCAGTAACAGGTAATTACTTTCGATAATCTAATCATGTTCCCTTTTTTTTTCAATTGAATCGTATGTAAAAATTTCACGATAATTACTCATATTGTTAAATGGTTGTATACTTCTATTGCTTGTTATCGATGTAACTTTTAGTGTTCTCAAAAGCATAAGTTAAAAAATCAGTTTCTAAGATCTGCCTCACTCCTGGTGTATCAGTATAAACGCACACATGATCTATTGACTCGATATTATAAAAAGTTATTTTGAAGTACTTAGTTTTAGAGGCCCGAAAACAAATTCACGAAGAAATCGTTGCCAAGTTAGAATTTTTAATCGGTTCAAATTTGAAAGGACAATTTACTATACACATGAATGGGTATTTCAATTGTAAACAATATAATCATATAAACGATTTTGACATATTCCCTCGACTGATCATGTTTATAGGAAAAAAGAATTAGTTTGAATGTTGTCTTTCCTGACGAAACAAGCCATAATACCGAAAGATCAATTTTACTCATTAATTTTCTGTGGTACTAAATTGAAGTAACCATTATTTAATTGCAAAGCTAAAATGGATATAAGTGAAAAGAAATCCGAAGAAGTTGTCACGGAAAATTACTCAAATGAACACGAAATTGTTGATTCCAAAGAAAAAAAATACGTTTGTGACATTTGTCAAGAGACATTTATACTAGAAACAAACATGATAACACATCGAGAGATAATTCACAATAAACAAAAAGACTACGCTTGTGACAAGTGCGAACAAAAATTTGAGTTTCGGAGTCATTTGAGTAGACACCAAATATCGGTACACAAAAGCTGCAATGATTTTGCATGTGACAAGTGTGGGAGAAAATTTGTGAAAAAATCGAGTTTGTCAACACACCAAAAATTAGTTCACAAAGATCGTGAAGATTTGACTTGCAACAAGTGCGTGAAAAAATTTGAAAATAAATCAACTTTACTCAAGCACAAACAAATATTTCATGAAGTTTTCAAAGATTACTTATGTGAAAGGTGCGCGAAGAGATTTTCGAATAAACATAATTTGCGCTTACACATAAAAACAGTCCATGAGAGTTGCAAAGATTTCGCATGCGACACGTGCAGGGAAAAGTTTAGAAAAAAATCGCATTTGCTACTCCACCTAAAGACAGTACACGACGTCTTCAAAGATTACCAATGCGACCATTGCAGGAAGAAATTTGCATATAGAAGGAATTTGCTCTTGCACATAAAATCAGTCCACAAAGGCCGGAAAGAATTCGCATGTGACAAGTGTAAATTGAAATTTACACAAAAACCTAGTTTGCTTTCCCACCAAAAGCCAGTCCATGAAGGTCGGAAAGATTATGCATGCGATAATTGCGACAAGAAGTTTGGCCAAAAAACGAATTTGCTTAGACACCAAAAAGAAGTACACGAAGGTCGCAAAGATTACGCTTGTGAAGAGTGCGGGAAAAAATTTGGTCAAAAATCGGATTTTTTCAGGCACCAAAAAAGTGTACACGAAGGTCGCAAGGACTTCGCATGCGACAAGTGCGAGAAAACATTTGGGCTTAAGCGAAATTTACTTGTGCACCAAAGAACGGTACACGAAGGTCGCAAAGATTATGCATGCGGCGATTGCGCTAGGACATTTGGACAAATATCGCATTTGCTCTCCCATCAAAGAACAGTACACGAAGGTCGCAAAGATTACGTATGCGACAAGTGTGAGAAAAAATTCGGACAACAATGGACTTTACGTTTGCATCAAAGGATAGTCCACGAGGGTCGCAAAAATTTCGCATGTGATCAATGCGAGAAAAAATATGGACATAAACAACATTTACGTGTGCACCAAAAGACAGTACACGAAGGTCAGAAAGATTTTCCATGCGACAAATGCGAGAAGAAATTTGGACAAAAATCAGATTTGTTGAAGCACCGAAGAACAATACACGAAGGTCGTAAAGATTTTGCGTGCGATCAGTGCGAAAAAAAATTTACACAAAAAATTCATTTATCTATCCACCAAAACACAATCCATGAAGGTCGCAAAGATTACGTTTGCGACAAGTGCGAGAAAAAATTTGGACAAAAATCGTCTTTACGTTTGCATCAAAGGACAGTCCACGAGGGTCGCAAAGATTACGCATGTGACAAATGCGAAAAGGTTTTTGGACAAAAAGGAGCTTTGTTCAAGCATCGAAAAGCAATACACGAAGGTCGCAAAGATTACGCATGCAAAAAATACGAGTAAAATCGGACAAGAATCGAATTTGATCTTCCATAAAAAACAGTTAATAAATGTCGCAACGATTTTCACCAAAGTTTTATTGGTGTTAATTGTATTTACATATAATAGTCATATTTATCGATTATCCTTATTTATAATGGTTTGCTTTTCTATTAGCTCCTTCAAAATCTTTCCAGCGCTTTGTTATTATAATCTAAAATATGCATAATTGCATGATGATTCTACGAGTTATCAAAACGAATTTTTTCAGCTCATTGCAGTTAGTCACATGCTCCAGATAGTTCCTCAGAGAATACTTGATGATTTTTTCTTATCAATTGTAAATTTGTATAGAAACTGGTGTATAGTTTTTCAAGTACATATTTTTTAAACATTTTTTAAAAAATTATGACAATATGATTGTGTCTTATTTGAACTTTGTATCTATCTACTATTATTTAAACTTTGTTCACTGTCGTGGTCTGCGCTTCATTTTTATAACCAGACGACTGCCAATCAGCCCAGAGTTTTTTCAGGTTTTTTTTGAATTCTGCGAATGGGCCGAGAAGTTAGTTGGCTACCTGCATTTTTGATAAATGTATAAATTTGCGCACGAATAGTGGGTGATTTCTGCCATGAGAGCTGTGATAGTTTGTAAAAATAATTACTTTACTGAAAAAACCAACGTTAAAACCATTCAATTATTTGATTCAAATCAATAAGTATTTTCTGAATTCTTTAAAATTATAAGAAGCTACTGATCGATATACAACGGAATCGAATTATTGTGACAACGACTGGTCGAAGGATTTTGGTCTGACTGGACATAATATACGGCGGAAAAAAGTATTCATAAATAGTACATAAAAATAATTTTAGTATTTTTAACCGAAGTAATCGTTAATTTTTTTTGACACGTGCACACTGTTTTGCTATTTTAATTAATGAAAGCGCTCTCGCTGCTGCAGAGTTGAAAGCTGTACTTCAATGAATTGGTAGGGCCAAGGCCTGCTGATCGGCAGTACTTTTTGATGATCCTCTAGCTTCACAGCTAGCCGATATTGAGATGAATTATTTCTCACCGCACTTCAATTCACTTACAAAAACTTGAACTTTTTAGTTCTCTGGCATAGCTCTGCCGTGCTCAACTGTATTATCCGATCTGCTCTCGAGCTTGACTTTTGCCCAGCTTATATACTGTTCAGTTTTTCATACTCATTCGTCAACATGTTTTCAATATGCTTTCTCCCCTTGGTTACTGAAAAGCAGAGGAAAGCGCATATCAGTTATTTTTAGTAATTCGCCGAATCATATTGCTTAATTGTTGTGTCTATGAGACCTGTTATTGTACATGTTGGTCGACACATAGTCATGCCCTTCAACAATTTCCATTGTAGTCATACTTTTCCGCGCATGCCATTATACGTTCAATTTCGTACTCCAATAATATACAGTACTTATTAATCCGTGCGCTTACTCACGCAGTGCCGCGACCGCTCATACGTGCGAGCACTCATACAGCGTTGCGCTTGCCTATGCGTGTGAGCACTCATACTACGGCACACTCGCTTATGCGTGTGAGCACTCATACTGTGGCGCGCTCGCCTGTCCGTGTGTTCATTCATACCGCTACGTTCTTATCTGAACGTAAGAGATGTACAATTCTGTACGCTACTTGTGACGCATATTTCTTGCTAGGGCATTTATAAAATAAATGATCGATAGATCATTATTGAAAATGGTAAAATTAGCGAGTTTTTGACTTTGAATCGATTATAACTCGAAAAGTATGCATTTTAGAGAAAATTATCAATAGTAACTTTCTCTTTAGAATGGTCCAAATTATCTGAATAAAAAGGTTTCAGTCAAAAATTTTTGAAATTTCATTATTTGTTTAAAAAAATCAATTTAAACAATTTGGTGCGGGATAACTCAAATGTAAGATTGGTCTCCAGGTTACGGGTGTCCTCAAGGAGGGAATGACGCAAAAACTATCCATTACTCTATTTTTTCCACGTTTGAGAGGATATCGCCTCGACTAATAGCGATACGTTTCATTAATCATGCGCTTTCTGTTAGAATTATAAGTATATAATGTTTTTGTATTTTCGGAGCCTGTACCACCACTACCGACAGCGCTCCGAGCAGTGCCGCGCACGAGTGTGGTGGGGAGAACAGCTGCGCTGCTCTCTCTCACTTCGGGCCCACACGGCTATGTATTCATTCTATCTCTTGACACGGAGTACGTCACATCGACTCCTTTTCTCTTTCCTTTTGTTAATTCAATAAACTTATTACAAATACAAACCTGCATTTGATTTTTACTCTGCTAACACTTTCTAAATCTAATTCAACGGTTCCTACAATACATAGCTCTCACTACTCCACTTGTATTATGACTTATAACTTCGTACATGCTTTCGTTACTCTCTAATAGATCGCAGCGCACGCGCAATTGAATTTCCAGTATTTTTTGAGATGCCGACGTGTGAACTGAGTACACGTTACGACACGGCAACGTAAACATTACGTAACAAACCGGATTATTTTTCAACTCGTCTTCAAATTGTACAAATGGTACCAAATCATCAAATGGCATCGCCGGAAGATCAAGCAGTTGTGGAGCGTTCAGAGTTCGCAGCTTAATGAACTCTTTTATATCGTACAAGATGCTTTCTTGCATTTTTTTAATGTTCTTTTTGATCCCCTTTTCTATCTCCTCGATATCTTTTTTTGTTGCGAAAATTTCTGGGTCCAAACGCATGCGTTTGCTTGAAGGCGGTTCACATGATGAGCTTTCCCGCGAGGACGTATTTTTTTTAAATTCAGGTGCACCTATGACAAATTTTATTTAAAAAACAATAAGCTCTAGAATAATCATTGAACATAAATTTACCTGAATTTGCATCGGCTTCTAAGCCAGCAAAAAACCCTGCAAGTGACGACTCATCGATAATGATTTGAGGAGGATCCACAACAACATTTTCTGCTCCATCTTCATCGTTGTCAGTAGAACTGATGTTCGCGGTTTCAAAGGATTTTCTTAATCGTTTGACTCCTTGCTCATGATTTTCTGAAAATCAATAAATCATGAATTGATTTTAAACGCCCGAAATTATCGTCTAAGGTTATAACTGAAAAAGCAAATATCGCATTGAAATGAAAAAATCACGAGTTGCGTGAAGCGCTCTAAATCTTTTTTTAACGATAGATTAATGAAGCGATTGATAATGAATTTGAAAATAACTTACTCGCTTCCTTAAGCACATCTACTTCATATCGAACCCATTTCGCTCCTGGTTTTTTTTCTTCTCGAATCCATTTTTCCAATTTTGGATAGTCTTTTTCGTCAGGATAAACGCAAAACCATCCCGAGTCTTCATAGCTTAGCCAAGAAACTGGTACTAGCTCGGTAGATTTTAATCCATTGGGATTTTCCCAATTTTTGAAAACTACGACAGCAAACTTACTATTTTCTTTCAGTGACATTTTCGCTTTGACGGTTAATGAACAACTGGGTTATGTAACATAAATGAATAACAAAACAGAAATCGTAGAAACAAACAAATCAGAAATAATATATACTTATTTCATCGACTGTATATCAATTATACAGCCGACGGAATATATTATTAACAGAGTACTGAATTTTACATATGTAATAATTCAAAAATATAAGTTTTGTTATCAATATTTAGTTTTATACATTTTTTCAATATATCATCGCACGAGTAAATATTTTCTTTTTTTGAGCTTTTTTTCACGAGATATACTCCTACAGCTGAAGATGCAATGGGGAAATCGAATGCGTTTTCAGTGTAAAATTTACTTGCTTTCATCTTGAGCTTTTTTTCTTCATAATAAAGCTCCTTTATTTCTAACAAATTTCCAT